AAGGACAGATTCTGAATGATCTGCCGCCGCCACTTCAATTTAATATTTATATGTTATGCTAGTTACATGAAAGGACATATTTTCCCTTGGTGTTTACATCATAACACTTAACAATATAAAAAACTGAAAAGTAAATAACAGAACTAGAATAACAGAATAACATAACAGATAGACTAGGTATATTCTACCCTACGGACAGAGTGGCCCCACAGTAAATAACAGAATAACATAACAGATAGACTAGGTATATTCTACCCTACGGACAGAGTGGCCCCACATCTGTGGGGCCCACATCAGTTTCTCTACACCTCTTATTGGAGAAGTCCAGCCACCAAGTCCACCTCTTCTTAAAGCTGACAAGTTAAATGCTTGATACAGGACAATTGGACCTAACAAATTTACTTGTTCTTCCTTAGCTACTGTTTTAGGTATTAAGTAGATGAAAGTTGCATTATTTATTTTCTCAACCTGTCTCTTTGACATAATTGGTGAATACTTTTGTCAAGTCCCTTTTCACCACATGCTGGGACACCTTATAAAATGTCAAAGACACATGAAGTTTAAAGTTTCTCTGAAGCAACACACTTTTTTTTTCACCTAGAGCTCTCATAGATCTATATCTATATCTATATCTATAGATATTAATATAGATATTCCTTTCTGCTTTGTATCATCTTTTATTCCTTTCTGTTTTGTACCATCTTTTATTCTCTTACTTACCATCTACTAATCTTGCCCTCGGAATTACATATCCATATAAGAACTCTGTTTTTTGTCAAAAAAAACTTGATCCATATATCTTTAGATATGAATATTTTTTTTTATTATATTACATTACACATACACTTCTATTTTATCCATGTGCCTTGTCTGACACATTGCATATTTGTCTAGGCAGTATCTTGCAAATATCAGCCTAGGGTTGAATATCCTTACAGACATCAACTAAGGTGTGTTGAAGTTGAAAATTTACTTGTGGGTGGCTTGCCTACATCTAGATTCAGACAGCTGACTAGTATCAATAGTCAGCTTTTAGAAGCACCTTTTATCTTTATCTAGAAGGATTTCCACTTTCTTCCATTGATAAATCATTCAAATGACAAAGCTTAGATGGCTTGACTGTATTTTTTGTCATTGATCATTTGGATCTGCACATCTAGTCAATTCAATTTATTAAAAATTGCTTAAATTTTCTTATGCATGATGTTAATGTATGTGTTCTTTGGATCAGGTTCATGAAAGTTTACAAAGAATACGTGAAAGAAAGCTTGTTAATTTTATTGAGTGGGGTCCTGCAAGTATTCAGGTATTTCTTCCATTGGGAAAAAGTATATACAATGCTGTGCAAATTAGTTACCCTCTTTTGAAGAACTTCCTCTGCTTGGCCTCAGGCCTTGTGCCAAGCCCTCATTAGAAATTTAACAAATACTTTAACCAGGCCAGTCCAAGTTGCATTCCCTTTGAAAATTACCATTTTAGTTATCTGTTGCTTATATTGTAACTTTCCTTGTTGCAGGTTGCATTGTCCAGAAAGTCCCCATATATTCAAACTGCTCATAGGGTAAGGTCATACTTGTATTATTTCTGTTCTGTTTCCTCTTTATTCCAACATCAGTAATTTTTTCCTATCTTCCTCCAAAACTGGGAATCATGTTTTCATTTCCATTCCATCCTACAATTTCATTTACTTGTGCACCAATCCTTTATTTATTTTGAGGGGTGGGGTTGTTTTTTATTGTGTTTATAAAAAATGCTTTAGTACTTATATGAGAGTAAAAGTTTTACTAATACCTATCCCCTTCTTTGTCGGATTATTATACCTTTTATCAGGTTAGTGGTCTTATGCTAGCAAGCCACACTAGTATAAGGCACCTCTTCAGCAAGTGTTTGACCCAGTATGAGAAATTGAGAAAGAAACAAGCCTTCCTTGACAACTATCGGAAGCTCCCCATGTTTGCAGTAAGTTAAATGCTACCAAGTGCATGTCATATTTAAGCTTTAATCTTGAGGGATATTTTTTCATAGTGTTTAATTCAGTTTCTTTTTAATTTATATCTGATATGTTTGCACAATTGATTAAAACAATACCAGGTGTTGCAACAGAACATAAATTATTATATCTTTGTTAAAAGCATAGTTTTAAATGTTATTCTACTTCAAGAGGTTCGTTCAGTGCATCTCCTACAGTCACATTTATATAAAAATAAACATTTCCACTTATAGATATATAATCATACAAAACCAGTTGGGTTAAGTAGGGAGTAGGGAGCTTCCCTGTACAACCAGCTTATTTCTGCCATGTAGAGGGATGATGTGGCTAATCTAAACCAGCCACCAGTTAGGTGACCTGGTCCTGGATTTGTCGTGTATTCAATCTCACATTCTATGTCAGTTCTATAACCTACCTTGTATTAGCAAGAGGTAAAGGACTTATTGTTGACATGTGGCAAAGGTTTTGGGGCTGAAATTTGCCCCATGAACAGAAGCTGACAAGAGGAGCATGTGGGGCCTATTTGGACTCCTGAACAACTTTGCCACGTGGAAGATTCCTTCATTGTCTAGAGAATTTCACCGAAAGACTTGAGTAGGAAACCCTCTCGGAATTATAATCATTTCAATGTAGTTTTCACATTTGATTCTGCAAATAACAAGGTGCATCGTGTATTATGGTTCCATTCCATAAAAGAAACGTAATTGTTCTTTAATTTGATTTTATCCCATCATATATGGACAGGATAACGATCTTTCTGAATTTGACGAATCTCGAGAAATAATAGAGAGCTTGGTTGATGAGTACAAAGCTTGTGAATCACCAGATTATATCAAATGGGGAGTGGAGGTGTGCTCTTATCGGTCCATGGCTTTCCGTCCTTCATCAATTTCCTATTATACTTTGCTGATAAATTGCATTCTATGCAGGACCCGGACGGGGTTTTAACTGGAGAAGGCAATGCAACAGGAAAATTGGATCCTAAACTAGAAGTGTAGCCTATTCAAGGGAACCAATGGAGCAAAATTGAATTTATTTTATGAAGAGTTCTCCACAAGTATAGTCCGATCCAATTAGTGGATGTGATTAACGTGCTTGTCATGGTTGAAATCCAGTGTGAAAATGGCATAGCTCTGGGGCTACAACATTGGTTTTGCCTTTGGAGGTATTTTGCATGTGATCATGCTCACTTGCTGCATGTTTACGACTATTTAATTTCTCCTACAGGTTTGTATAGCTCAACCAGGAACCAGCAGTAAGAGGCTGGTTTCCGGCAGTTTGGACTTTGGAGTATTATCACGCATGGACTTCAAAGTTCAAACACGAGGGAATCGACATTCCCAAAAAGTCATAGCCAGGATTTTTTACCAACAAATGAATGGAAGATACTTCGTGTTAAATATAAATTATTTTACCATGACAATTAATAAAATAAAATAAGTTGCTTTTAGTCTGTTACTATAAAAATAATAAAATTTCATTACGATTGAGAAAAAAAGCCAGGTTAGATAAATTAGTTTTTGGGAAATTCCCAATTAGTACCCTGCAAGGTTCAAAGTATGTATCAGCCCGTATTGGCCAATATGTATCATTCTGGGACCCCTTTGATTCGCCCCTATAGTGGGTGTATCGGGGTCTGACCGGTTCAGGGGGTGGAGCCCTAAACTAGCCCCCCTGAACCGGTTTCAGAAAAAAAAAATAGTATTGATTTGCTCGATACGCCCCTACCGGCGAATCGGGCGTATCGATATTTTGAACCTTGGTACCCTGTACTTTGGACCTAATTCTATTTTGGTCCTTGAACTTTAAAACGTGACAACCCAGTACCTGAACTTTCAAAACGTGCCAATCTAGTACCAGCTGTTGTTAAGTGGCATTTGAAAAGATATAAATGCCCTTCGAGTGTCATCTAATTTTCTTTATTAGCCATCTAAATGTTGACAAAAAATGAACAGTCACAAATCCTTGCCTCTTATTCAAGAGAATTGGGTTTACATCTCAGTGGACATTTTGGTGACTCTAACTTTCTTTAATAGAAAAGGCAATGATTTAGGACTGTTCATTTTTTATCAACGTTTGGATGGTTGATAAAGAAAATTAGATGACATTCAAAGAGCATTTGTGTCTTCTCAAATGCCACTTAACGGCTGGTTAATGATAAATACTAGATTAACAGGTTTATGAGGTAGTAAACTTAATTAGATGCAAAGATTTATGATGCAGAAAAAATATAGTATGGAAAGAGTTTTGGCCAATCAAAACCCATTCATAAATTTTGATAAATAACACCTAATTGTCTACCAGGTTTTTTATTCCAATTGATTGATTAGAAGTCTTTCAGATATCATATCTTTCCCATATCATAGTCGAACCCGTCAAACCTATTATTACCTTATATTTGATTGTGGTGGATTATTTTTCTAATCTAGCATTTGACATACGTATCTGGTTTAATCAAAATTTTGATTTTGACTGAGGAAAAACAAATCGTAGTTGAGCCAACCTGCGCCTTCGGACAAGTCCACTTCAACCTAGAATCACAGCCTTTGGATGTATTTTGAGCCCCACCTTAACGTTATTTCATCTAATTCAAGGTGGAGCCACATCAATACATCAAGGGCTGTGATTCACGGCTTTAGCCGAAGGCTAAGCCAACAGACGTATATTTTTCTTGTGAAGAGAACATGTGGATAGCATAGGATGTCCAACATGGACAGCCAATGTTTTTTCATTCAAAATTCAAAGAAAATTCTCTAGGAATTTCACATGTTCAGGAACTTTTTTGGTCTTTCCCTCAACATTCTGTTTCTCCCATTTCCTATCAAACCAAACATATCCAAAGGGCCACGTTTACCAGCTTCAATTCTTGATGTGAATATAAACTGATTGGCCTGGATTGACACAGCCCAAATAATATGCACCAAATGAAGGTTCAAAATATCGATATGTCCAATACACCAGTATAGGCATATCAGGCGAATCGATACATTTTTTTTTTAAAATCAGTTTAGGAGAATCGGTTTAGAGCTCCTCCACCCCTTGAACCGGTCAGACCCCTGATACATCCACTGTAGGAGTGTATCAGAGAGGTCCTAGAACAATACGACTTATTGACCGATACATGTCGATACTTTAAACTTTACACCAAACCTTGATCCAGAAGGTCTAATCTCTAGTGCCAGTATCACCTTAAATTTAATTTTCTTTAATGGGGTTTGGGAGGTGAACTGTGAAAGATAGGCATAAGGATGCATCGGATGCGCCTTTGTTCAGTCCAACTGTACAACAGCAACTCTGGTTAAGATCTTTTCTTCTTGAGCTAATACTTCCACTCCTTTGGGGACGATCTCCTTTTTCTTGGATTTACCATCCTCGTAGACCCAACAAAATTACACCACAGATCTTTTTTCTTTTTAGATGGATAAGATCTCGCTTAATTTATTCCATGTATAATTAATGAAACCAGAAATTGCTTCAGTGAGTTGTTCCTGTCAACAATGGATCCCATGACTGTGACACTGACACCAACTTACATTCAGATACAAAGGATTCGGCACCACATAGGATTATTCCAGCTCTTAATCTTCACAATCACAGCTAGACTCAGTTTTAATGTTTTCTAATCCCATCTCAACCATCATGATTTCCCAATTGAAAAACAATTTCAAAAGTTTACGGGAGTGATAAGGAAAACCTCTTCAGAAGACACATTGAATGGCGCCATGAAGCCCATCACATATTTTCTGGTCTATCTACTTCAGCTTTATTTATTTATTTATTTTGAAAGGTAAATGAATTGCTCACAAGTGGGTGCAACTTGCGAGTACCAGAAAATTGTTGGTTTGCAAATTGCAAATTGAAGCCTCAACTCTCAAGATTATTATCCAAGTGGGTGTCATATGTCCCAAAGAAATTTATACTTAAAAGCAATTTCAAGCAGACACAACGAAATCATAATCGAAAAGGCAAGTGTTATAGAAAAAAGCAAATATTCTAAGGTTTAACTTCATAATAGATTACTTGTTTAATACAAAAAAAAGGGATTTTGGACTGCACTCCCTATCAGAAATCTTTCCTAGTCTATTAGTAACCCCCCACCCCCTATAAATTACATCTTACCCGTAAATTTGGCATATCCACGGGCAAGATTCAATTCACCCCTAGGTGGAGCTAGGATTTCAATCCTAGGGGTGGACTGAATCATAAAACCCCCAAAAAAAAAGTTTGTGATTCATGGAACTATTCAAACTCCCCCACTATTTTGATAGCAAAAAAAGGGTAGAATTAAATAATGTGGTATCATTTGCCGTGAAATCAAATGAACAAAAAAAAACAGTTTCAAACAAATGAGTAATGAACCGGAAATTACAGTCTTGCTGATAGAACCACCAAATTTTGGTAGAAAAAAGTTTTTGCGTTTAAGGCTGCATTTGGTTTGGAAAGGAAAATGAATGGTTTTCTTCCAAAAACGATATTCAATAGAAAAATGAATCATTTTCCTAATTTTTATGGTCTTTCACTTCTTGAAAAATAGACATGATGAGTATTGAAAAGTATAATATAATGCAATAGGACTCAACCTCTAATTGAAAAATAACTTCTGGAAAATTAAAAGGAATATCTTTTGTGTCACCATAAAATAGCATTTTTATAATAACTTAATGAGACTACACAAGCAAGCCAGTTGAACAATTGACAATTTTTACCCACTAGTAAGTGGGTATGTGTTTTGTATGTGTTAATTTTTTGTAATGATAATAATAGTAAATAAGGTTTTCAAAATTTTCTAAATCTTTTAATATTCGTATGACAATAAGAATTAGGGGTAATCATTTTAGCCTGGCCCGCACAAGCCCGGCACAGAAACTTTGGGCTTGGGCCTGGGTCTTGTGTTCAGGCCCGGCTCGAGCCTATATCAGGCCCGCAAATTTTTAGGGCCGGGCTTGGGCTTAATACTTTAAGCCTGGCCCGGCCCGCATATATTTAAATTTAAACATTTTGTATATAATGTATACATATGTATACATGTTATTTTACATTATATTATATATTTTATATATAAATATTATAGCATGTATAATTTATATTATATGTAATATTTTATATTATATAATGTATAAAACAAGTTTATATGCATGTTATGTCATTTAATATATAGATATGTAATGTTTTATATAAAAGTGACATTGGCCCGAAATCATGCCCAAGCCCGTATAGACCTGAGCTAGGGCTTGTGTTTCACGCCTGAAACCCCGGGCCTGAGCCTAAGCTATATCCCTTATCATAAGTGTAAAGCCCGGCCTGGCCTGGCCCATGATGAATATACGATATTAGAGATGTGACCAAATGTTTTTATAATTTTTTGTGTATTTTATACTTTGTGTGTTTTCATCTTTTTTAATTGTTATTACTATTTAATTAGGGCATTGAAAATACTTAATGAGAGGGAATTGAATGAGGAGAAATGTATTAGTTCAAGTTACATTTTGTGCCCTCACAATTAGAGGGATCAAATTCAAAATTAGGGATATTCTAGTCAAGAATTGGAGTTAATGAATGTTAATGGGAGTTAATACCTTAAATACAAAACAAAATGAGAGGGATTTGAATGAGGAGAAAAGTAATTATTCAAATTACATTTCTATCTTTATAATTAGAGGGGCCAAAGTCAAAATTGGGATATTTTAGGTGATGTCTGGCATCGATGATGATTCCTCCTCGCCAATTATCCAAACAAATTTCTGGAATTGGTGATTTCTAAAAAAATCACCAAAAATTGTTATTTGATACCATCTATGCCATGTAAGCTGATTTTTAAGAAATCAGCTTTTAGTTTGTTTGATACTGATTCTCAAGGGCCAATTATTTCCGTATTAGAATTATTATTCAATGTCATGTTGGATGCCATGTCATCCTCAAAAAATTGGAATCAACTAGAAAGCAAGAAATTACCAAAAAAAAATAAGGTAATCCTTGAAAAGGGCTGATTTCAAGAATCAATTTTTAGTTGATTTCTTGAAAATCATCAAAATCGACCAACCAAACAGAAATTTCAATGCCGATTCCTCTAACGTTGATGTTGCTCCGACATAGCAGTGATTTTTAAGAAATCATCATTGATGCCAAACATCACCTTAATCAAACAAAAGTTCCACACGCATTCACACTTTATTAGTAGTATAGATAAATTTCATTATTTAGAAGGGGCAATTTTTTGTAATAATGTTTTTGCAATTTTCCCCTTATGTGGAGAAATTACTTATCTACTTGGGAGATGGATAACATCCATGAGAAAATCAATTTACCATAGGACCCATACGTACCAATATGTGAACATGGATAAATTGGTCAACTTTTTCATTGACCATCTTACCCTCCCTCTATTTACCGAAAAACAAATGAGGCCTAAGTTTGTTTTGGAACAAGGAGTCTCTTCAATAATTAGAGGGTGAAGCACAAGTAGTAGAGATGCAAATGGATCAAATCAAATTCGGATAGGGATATATCCAAAACCGGTCAAATAATATAAATACCATATCCGATCCAATCTGATGATTTGGTAAATCTTATAAAGATCAATTTGAATTTGAATCTACTAAGGATGTCAGATATCCATATTTGATTCAATCCGGTTTGATTACCCATAGGTCAATCAGATAGGAGTGATCCAAAGTCGATCCAATTTTTAACCGGATCCTATTGTTCAATCCAATCTGATTGAAAATCTAATAGGAGGATATCCAAATCTGATAAAATAGGATCAAATTCAAATTTAAATCAGATCATGATATAATCCATTTGCAACCCTAACAAGTAGTGATTAAGGCTCTGTTGAAGATTGCCTAATTACTTACAGCAAAATCTACATGGCAAGAATCATTCATTGTTTAGTTGAATTATCGTACTAATGTGGTTACAGACAGAATAAATAAATTTGGTTTTAGTCGTGACATATCGGAATTCATAGTCCACTTGTCATGTATTATGTCTTCCTTTTGTGAAAATTGATTGTAATATGAGCTCTTAAAGTAATGAAAGGGCCTCATTAGGCTTAGGAAAAAAATATATGAGGCTAAAGTAATGTATTATGTCTTCCTTTAGTTGAATTATTCAGTTGTTTAAAAATTTCTAATAGATCTTTGCAGATTTCAGGCTAAATTCAATATTTAGATAAAATGGTAGAGATTTCTTTTTAATAGATATAAATTTAAGATTTTATTTGGTTTTCATGGTTTATTAGAAAAAGGAGTGAATAAATATTATATTTTAAGATGAAGAGAGACATTTTATGTTAGTGAAATAAAACGATAATTTAAATAAATTTATTTTTCTATGTCAATGCAATGATTCATGTTATTTTTATCTTTTTTTTTTAAGAAAATGGAGGTATTTTGGAGCCGATTAGGATTTAAGAGAAAAAAAAGTGAGAAAAATAAAATAAAAGTTTATATAAATATTTTGATAATTTAATACATCCCTTGGGCCAATTGAAAGTTATCACAATGAAAGTTTAAGAAAGCAATTGTCACTCACAAAAGTCAAAAGGGATATAAGTCCCTTTATCCCCAAAAGTGAAGAGAAGTTTGAAAGGAAGCCAAACTTGAGGTTTCAGAAAACCCAGGGAGGTTTAATGGAATACAGTCGAACCCATTACCACTTTTTTTTTTTTTTTTATTCCCGAATCTCGACCCCCAATTGCCAGTTGTTGAACACGGATTGGCAGCATCGTCACTCTATGGAAAGGCTGCTCCACGCCTGCCTGCTGGCTGCTGCCTGGGACTCTGGGAGTGGGGAGTGGAGATACGAAATTACCATTTACGCTCCGTTTGGGAAGAGTGCCTGTATATGAATTATGAAACATGCATATTTGTATTTGTATTTATAAATTATAATTTACCTTTTGCATTCATCCCAAACTGAGCCTTGGACATTTGGGGGAGGGTAGGGCTACCCGTGCAGTGTAGCCCCCTTCTCTTATCCCACCAAAAAGTGAGATCAGTTAAAGAATCCCACGTGGGAGCATCTGGATCCTATAAGCTGGAAACAACTGAGAAGAAGACAGACTGGCGAGCGTTCCGAGAGTAAACAGGAGGGACGATCACATGACAGGGGTCATGGGGTGGGTGGGGGTGTGGTGTTGGGTGCTGCCTTGCTTTGCTGAGTTGCAGTGTGGGGCCCGCGCGGTCGATGACGGGGCCCACATAGAGAGAGAGAGAGGTATCTGAAAATCACACACCCATCAATCCACCTCTTCTTCAAAAGTTCAAAGAGAGAGAGAGAACATCGCGCCTCAGATCCGTTTTCTGTGATTTTTTCCTTCTTCCGTCTCCACCTCTCTCTGCGGCTCTCCGGAGCCGTTTGCAGAGATTTCAAGCGTTTTAAGTCTTCTAGGTTTATTTTTTTCTTTAAGCGAGCGAAAGAGAAGCCGTAGAGAGAGAGAGAGAGAGAGGGAGGTCAGGTTGCGATCTAGGTTTCAAAAGAACAACAGCAGAAAAAAAAAAAAAGTCGCGGGAGAAAAATAATGGCGGTTTCTAGGGTTTCTTTCGGAGTAATGGCGATCGTCGCCCTCATCTTCAGCATTGCATTCCCTGCCGTCCAGGCTCAATCCTTGGCCCCTGCTCCGGCTCCTACAAGCGACGGTAAGGTTATATTTTGTCGTTTTCTTTTATTTTTCTCGTCTCTTGAAGGTGAACGTTATAGTTTAGATCTGCTCCGTCGATCACGTCATCTTTTCCAATTTCATGTTTTTTGGCCCTTTTGCCCTGTTATGTTTATGCTGATGTCGTTGTTCCTATTGAGCGAGCGGTTCATGAGTTTGGATGCCCGCTACTTACATTACCTTCACTACTATTTTTCGATGATTATCTTACGTCCACTTCATTGATGTATTTTTAACGCGTTTCAGTTCATTGCTTTTAACGAAGTTATAGTTTTTTTTTTTTTCTCTTGTATCTAGGTTTTATAACTAAAAATGCTTGCGGACTCGTCATTTCTTTAAGATCCTCGAGTTTCTCTCTTTCTTTGGATATCCATCAATTTCATCTTTGTTTTCCCCTCTTCCTCCTCACCTTGAATCTGAACTCGGCTGCTCAATTGCTCATGAACTGGCGTATAATGCATGTAAATATAGTCAATACTACAAATGTCGAGAGCAACTCTACTACTATATGTAATTTTGATTCCCTCCCTTTGGCGGAAAAAAAATCTGAATCTGTGGTTTTGAATACCTGTTGTTTTCAAAATCTATTTAGAGTCTGTTAATTTATTTTTACTGGTTCGATTTGACAAGATAGGATATATTGTTAACCCAAAATGATATTCTGGTAAAACCTTTGTGGTAACTTTGTCTACACATAACTTAAGGGTATTGGAATTGATCTTTGTTTTACATTCAATTACTCTCATCTTTTCTCTCAACTCTACCTTGGAATTTTGATTTCTCAAATCTTTCTGCGCCAATGCCCTCTCCCTCCCCTCCGGGTTGAACTCTTAGATTGTATTAATTGCAATTGATGGCGACGGTGTGTGTTGTTATTGTGCTACAGGGACATCAATCGATCAAGGAGTTGCATACGTGCTGATGTTGGTGGCCTTAGTGCTCACGTATCTCATCCACCCATTGGACGCCTCATCTTACAACCTCTTCTGAATTGGGTTGATGATGATCAAAAGATAGGAGGATTAAGGGAATCTGCTTTGGATGAGAGAACACGGGGAAAGATACGAGATTTTGCTAGATGGTGGTGTTGTATCATAAAAATAGAAACGGTGATGAATGTCTCTAGTATGAAGTTGGTTTATCTGATGTTGACAATTATTTTTGGATTTGGGTGGTGCATTTTGTTTTGGTGGGGAGTTTAGTTGGTCTAGTTGAAAGGGTCTCTCTTCTTCCAACCTTGTTTACTTTCATTCCATCGTCAGTTTTACATATTCTTTTTCCTCTTGGGTTTTGTTCTTTTGTTGATCTCAGGCTATTTATGTTTCCCCTTGTTTCTTAACTGACGTTTGTGTGGACGATATCTGGTTCTCTTGGATAGTAACTCTACAAAATAACGCATTGCAATGCGTTTGTCACGACGGTTAAACATGTTCTATACACAAGTTGAGACATTTCTCTCTTGACAGACATGCTTCCTTCCAGAAGTTTATTATACCATTGCCTTGGGGCTGAACTGGTTGATATGTATTGGCTTTTTCATTTTTTGGGGTTTGGGTAGAAAGCTATCCATTCAAATCACATCTCCATTATTAACTGTGACAAACCATGTTCTTAAATATTAAACCAAAATAAAAAAATAAGAGAAAAAATGTTATATACTTCGACCAGTTTTATCCCACCTATATTGGGCCCTGACCACGTGAAACTCTGTTTTGCCCCACTATAATCTGTTTATGCATCTAACGGTTATTAGTTAACAATGAACTATCATTGGTTAGGACTTAGGAAATACTATTAATTGGTAATCTATTATTAAGTGTAACTATATGTTACTATTAAATTCTTAATTGTTAATTAATATATTATTAATTCTAGTAGTCTTATAGATTGTCTTGTCATATAATAATTATACCATGAATTAATTGCTATAAAATTTAGTCGCCGCCAGTTGTGCAAGTTAAGGGCAGATTAGCATTAATGGTGGTTTGCAAAAGTTCAAAAGATACGGGTCGGGTAGACCCTTGACCCTCGAAATAATTGAAAAACAAGTTGCATGAACCTGATGGACCAACCAAAAACCTATGAAACAACCAGTTTCCAGCAATGTTCAGAGGACTGAAATCACTGCAATTAAAGGTTGTTGCAAGGCACTGTTAATAGTTGCTATATCAATATTAACAGATTGCCCGAAATCAGTGACTAACAGGAAATAATTGACTGACCTAAAATTACGAATTAAAATATCGGACAAAAGATATTTTAATTGCATTGGAAAACACATAGATACACTAAATAATAATTGGATGTGCTTTAGAAACGTATGGAAATGGACAAAAGATACGAAAACACATAAATACACTAAAAAAATAATACAAATTTTATAAATACATTAATTACACTAATTTTAAAAATTAAAATAACCACAAGTATAAATACATAAAAAAGTATATTTTAATGATAAAGAAATATATTACTAATATTACAAATCTTGTTGATAATCAATCAAGAGTAGGACTCGTTATATACTTTTTACAAAATAAGACGCACAAAACCATTATTACTTTGAATTCTATAAATCCAAGACACAAAACATATGTAATTTTTATATTTTAATTACTATAACAATTTTTTTCTAATTTTACTTTTCAGCATTGACAAAAAGTCAATTAAATATTAAATTTTAAAATGTTTGATAATATCAAAATTATTATCATATGAAATTCATAATTTTTCTACATATAGTATTATCATATTTTTACTTTAATCTTAACTAAAAGTATATTAAAATTATTAAAATTTCTAAGATAATATCATATGAAATTGATAATTTTTTATTACTAAAGTAACGATTCCATTATCAACATTTTTTTTCTATAAATTTTTCTAAAATAACAAATAATTTTTATATAAATTTAAATTAGTGGATTTGATAAATTTAATTTAATATTATATTTCTGAATATTTTGTAAACAAAATTTTTTATTTTTATAAATAATAAATATGTTACTTTTTAGTCTAAATTAAAATATCATTGAATAATTTATAAAAAAAATATTAAAATTTGAAGATACATATAATATACAAATTTATGAATTTCAAGTACTAAAATAATTATTTTATTATTAATATTTTTATTTGTATAAATTTATTGAGTAAAAAACAATTTTTAATGTTATTTTTTTATTTTAAATTTTTCTTTTTAAAAATATACTATTTATTTAGGTTGCATGTTAATAATGAAATTAATAACAGTTGTTTTATTTTACTTGATATCACAAGTTGCATGATGACATAGTGCCTCAAGACGTTAGTCGCATAGTGGCACATGCATGACGTATCCTGTCGATATTTTAATCCTTGCCAAAAACTGATAAAATGACCAATTGTTGGGCTTGGGTCATCAATCGATGAGATGGTCTGAACTCTCCTTTCACCAACACAAAATGTAATAGTTGGGCTTGGGTCCAAAAATTTTAATCTAACAATCATGGTTATTGTTTTTTTGTGAAAAGATGGAAAAAATAGAAAATAATGTTGGGACTTTACCTTTAGGTGGTAGGCTAGGCTTGGATCTCATTGTGATGAGTATGAAGAAACTAAAAAAGATGAATAAGAAGAGGGGGGTGCTTAAATGATGAGCTTGGATCTCCTACCCACAAGAACCCTATTCGCACCTCATTACAATTGTACATTGAGAACACTTCTCATGTACGTATGTACCATTCATGGGGAGATGTCCATGAATATATTCTCAATGTACAGCTATTGTATCATGTGGGTGGGCATATGGGCAGGATTCTTGTGGGCAGGACATCTGAATTATTACATGATTGCATATCCAAACCCAACCATCAAAATCAAACTTAATTAGAACCACAATCCTTGATGAACCCATTTTCCTCTATATCTCCACAAAACACAAAGCAAGTCTGAAACTGCCGTTTCAGTGAAGAACTAGGATCTCTCCAAAACAGGGGAAGAGTCTCAGTTCATCACTTTTGGCAGAAGAAAGGGAAGAGAAGAGTCTCAACCGGTTAGCTTTGGTAAAAGGGAGAAAATAAGCCCATATAAAGAAAGAACCGATATTGCTCAAGTTAGTTTTGGAGCCTGGGGGAGCAGGTAGGGGAAGGGAGGAAGGAGAGAGAGCTAATGAGAGAGCAGGAAGAAAGGAGAGAGTTTTAAGGAGAATACTGGGGGAAATGGAAAAAAGGAGGGGTATATGACGTAAACAACCTTGCTTTATCACCTTCTCTCATTTTTACTTAAAATCGTTTCTTACACCTTTTACCCATGTTAATCTACCTTCTTAAAAGTTAAAACTACTCTTAGTTTCCCTTTCTAATTTTTGCTCATTCAACCAAAATTGCTTTAAAAGAAAAAGAATTTTAAATGGCAATTATAAGAACAATGAAGAATTGCAATTAAGGACTGTATATTAATGTTTACCAGATTGATAATCATAGACAAATATATCGAAAATTTTGGATTGTTTCTTATACTATAAATAAAATGCGGAAGAGGTCCTCGCGGACTACAACAATTATTAGTGGTGGAAGAAGCAGAGAAAAATATCTAACAAATCGGTCAAAATATCTTCCCGGGGGAACATATACCTGTTCAGTGTTGCAGATGGTTTACCGGAGATCAATCAAAGCAAATCTTTCGGTGATCGTGAGCCCGCAAAGGCTTCAACTACCGACCATGAGAAACAACTCGGATAGCTCGGGGCTGTAGCGTTGTGCTACTCGGAAGGGAAAGAAAAAAAAAAGAAATATAAATTCACAGAAAGGGGTTAGACATCAGTCCTTTTTTTTGTAACTAAAACAAAGGGTTGGATATCAGTCAAGAATCCGCCAATTTGTAATCAAACCACATGAAATGGCCTCAAAAGATGACGGAAAAGATATCACCGAACCGAACCACCCCAACCTCGACCGGAAAAAAGAAAAAAAATCGACTTAAATGTAACAAAATTTCAGAATTATTGACGAAACTTTTACGTGAATAGAGGCAAAATTGGGTCGACTTGGCCACGAAGAAAGAGATTACCAGCGTCAGCCATCAGCCCGAGAAATGATCCAGAGGAAGCTTTCTTCGCCTCTAACTCTACCATTTCAAAGGCAAAACTGAGGAGATTGCAAGAATTTCTTCTGTGCCAAATTCTTCTTTCCTTGACCGAAGTATGATGTATGGACTGGAATCCTAGATCTGCAAAGTTCTCCCACTTCATTATGAAGATGCACTTCTTTGAGGTAGAACATACTTCACTACTTCATAGAAGGAAACAACAATCCCGACTGATGGACCCGCACGACCAACACGTGGGCCAGCACCTGTAAAAAGTCCTTTAATTCCCCCGTCCCTATTCAGCAAAAAAAATAGTCATATCATACGCAAGGTTATAAGTCCAAAGTATATGAAACGCAAGGTGTATGGAAAAGACGATTTTAAAAGCGGATCGAGATACGTTTTAGATATGTATAAATACAGACAAAAAATCATAATACATATAAATATATTAAAAATTCAAATAAATCATAAAAAAATATATTATTAACAATACTAACAAGTTTTATATGATTGTAAATAAGTCATTTAAATATAAAAAACCATAATTTAATGTTTATATAAAATGTGGGATATCGAGATATAATTAGTAATCGTTGAAAAATGATGAAAAAACTAAAATGTGAAAAAAAAAACACAAAAAAATAAAATGTAAATTTATATACATCAATTTTCAAATAACCAATAAAATTATCTTAATATTTATTAGTATATAAAATTTAATAATCAATTTCAGCATTTATTAATAAGCACCACTAAGAAAAGAGTAAATTGACTCAAAACTAAAAAAGCATATAATTACAACAAACAAATTGGAGTGGTTTAGTGGCGAAATTATGGGCATTAAAATCTAATGACCAGGGCATTAAAACCTTGATCATAAGCAGCTCAAAGGCATCATTTAAAAAGTCCCACTTCAGCGTGTTTGTTAAACAACTCATTTGTCGATCATGGGGTTATGCATGTATTCATATGAGGTGTAAATAGAAAGGACAAGAAATGGTTCTCATCACTAAGCAGGTTTATTTAACAAATCACAACCACCATTTAACCCCATCAACAATGTCCCAAAGAGAGCACATCCTTGTGAAACAACCAATTTCCATCTTTCCATGGTTTACGGAGTTTTGAGATATGAAGAATCTCCAAACCCAAGAACAATAATAGGGAGTTCTTTGAGAAATTGCCGAAATTACATTAAGAAGCTTATGATCATTTCATGTAAAGTTGGTCTTCAGCTTAGTATCCAGGCACAGAAATTGGAAATTTTCTGATGGACATGACATCCCCAAACATGGTTTCTGAATCGAGTAGTTAATCACCGAGATGACCAACCTATTTTTGTCGAGTGGAGCTACAATATGGCTGATCCAGACAATCCATCAGATTGAGAATTCCCAGAATTGGTCATATGTTCACCCGTGTTGATATCAGTTCTGTATGGATTTTTGCCCCAACAAAATTTTCAATTTTTAATGGGAAAACCTACAATGAAGAGCTTATTTGTGAGGGCTTGACAAAATTTATTCCCCGTAAACAAAAGGAGGGTCAAAGGACAATTCAAACTATGACCCACCAGATTAACTGCAATATGGAAAATTTTCTGGGTCCTCTAGAATTCATGTGCAAATGAGCTGAGAATTCTTAATTCAATGTGGTAACTGGTAAGTTGGTTTGAAGCTCAAATATAGTATCTATAATTCCTCTCCATTTTATCCTGAAAATTTTCAGCCAGAAAGATCGGAATAACCCCTTTGTGAAAAACTTTTAAATTAAAAGGTTAAATAATATGATTTATCAAAAAGAAAAGAGTTAATATGGAAAGAAGGATTTAGCACACAGTGAGTCCATTGGATCCAGTAATCCATTATTTGATGTATGGTCTACATCAGCCATACAATTCCTCCATGTGACATAAATACAGGCTGTCTAGGAAAGCATCCCTAATTGACTCAACTAGAGAACCTACATACATATGCATGTGGGTAAAGATTCACTAGACAGGTGAATTAGGGATTAAACTATACAAACCTACCTATTTCTGCCATGTAGGGGATGTTGTGGTCAATTTAGACCATCGACCAGATAGGGGATCTACTAGACATGCAAATGTTATATCCCAATTATATCAGCATACTAGCTTATTCTGCACAGGTGGCAAGGTGTTTTGAGCCAATGCAATGGGTATATATGTTCATATGTGCATATTAAAACAAATCATACCTCCAGACCTCCACCAATGTCTTCCTAGTTGTCATCCTCAATGCCCTTGTTGGGTCCTTCTGGATATGAACAAAATACAAGTTGGTGAATTAGAACTAATCAGACAGAACATCCTAGGGTGTTGCTCATGCTATGTACAAGTGACCATCTGTTAACACATCAAGAGTATATCTATAAATGTAGATGGATATGAATTGGTTGAAGGTGTAACTAGCTTAGTCAATATGGTTAGCGGTTGAGCACCAGATCATACCAACCACTACCCACCAACAAATAAGCAATCCTTTCACAGAATCAACCCCCAAAAAAATAAAATAAAATAAAATAGAAAAACAGAAAGAAAGAAAGAAAGAAAGAAAGAAAGAAAGAAGAAAACATAGGACATTGATAGTCCCTAATTCCACAAGTGTTTTAGATTCGACTGCATGAATATCAGAAATATTAGACGTTAAGCCTATGAATTCGGAAAATACTTGGCTCCTACTCCATTGGAGGACATGTGTCCTACCGAAGGCATTTCATACAATAAATTCAAGGTTTAGGTTTAGGGATTTTAGAGTTTAAGGGTTCAGAGTTTAGATTTTAGGGTTTAGGTTTCAGGGTTCAAGTATGAAAATCAAGAGGTGGTAGGACGTATGTCCTCCAACGAGGTAGGGGCCCAGTATTCCCCTATGAATTCCTAGGGTGGCTAGTCAATCCCATGGAGTTGGGGCAAATAGGGAATACAAATACAATTCCAAGTTTCCAACCAGAATAAGATGACTGTCAAATATAAACTCCATTCTCAACCAAAAGACGTTGGGTATACAACCCTGAAATCATTACTAATCAGACTACCCATTTGTTCTTTCAGGAAAAAACTTAATGGTTTTAATGAAATATCAGAAAGCATAGATGGTATTCTAAAATTATAAATCTTAGATGTTTAATTTATCAATAGAACTCAAAAGGCTATTATCCAATGTTGGCCCCAGCCATGTAGGGTCTTGGGAGGTAGGCTGCATACGGTCTTAACATTTGGCATTTTTTTCACAAAGTAACCACTCTCAGACTCGATCCAGTGTTCTCACACTTTACAGCAATATATCATAGAGAACCATCATCTAATCTTTGTACCAACTACATGGGGCAGGCTACATCCTTATATTGGAGATATAAGGATAAGGGATATTTTGGATATTTTGGATTTTGTGTAATAAAATGGGGAGATTTTGCCAAATGTTGTTGATATTACACACCATGGTGTGTGTAATTAACCAAATCCCTTTATATAAGAGATCATGCTGATTCCAACCAAGCACCCAAAAGGCATTGTTATATATTGGTTGTGCAAATCAATGTTCAAAATATTGATACCCTTAAATAATGCAGAAGGGGTGTATATGCACATTTTTCTTTTAGTTTTAAAGGGGTGCTTGGACAAACAAAATGTATGTTACTGGGTGTGTGTCTGTGCATAGCATAAAGAGTTGTTTTGTACCTCAATTTGTCTTCGAGTTTTCACAACATCCAAGGGACACGTAGCAGCAGCAGCAAGACTACCAGCAATAAAACCAGCAGAGAAGTTTGCCCCAAAGATGCTCCCAGCATTAGCATCCTCACCAACCAAACCAAGGATTCTTCTCCTTATCTGTATAATTTAAAGAAAGAGAAAATCAAAAGAAAAGACAAACATCGTCTTAAAGGGTAGGCAAGGCACATATAGAGAAGTTAGAAAAAACAAATATAGCAATGCAAGGTTCAAAGTATCGATGCACGCATACACCGGATGGGGCATATCAGGAGTTTCAACCCCATGATCTCCCTTTTTTTATTTTTTTTTTCGAAACTTGTTCAGAAGGGTTAGTCTAAGGCTTCTCTAGAGATTGATAAAAAAAAGGGCTTCTCTAGAGGTGTAAATTGGGCTAGGCCGGGCTGGCATGGCACAACCTTGCGGGCTGCCTATGCTTTAGCAGGCCATGCCATGCCAGCCCACGGGCCTACGTGATTGTGCCTACCTCCTCTGGGATCCTTAACAGGTCAGGCCTGGCACGAGCCTAGCCGGACTCAGGTCGTGCCATGCCGCGGCTTGTGCCATCCTTGCACCAGGCAATGAAAGGCATATTTTTTTTGAAAAAAAAAACTGAAAACATAATGAAAATTTTAAAATAAATGAACAAAATAGGCAAAAAATTAAAAAAAAAAATCTTAAAAATCTTACCAACCAGCTGGTTGGCACCTTGCATTATTTTATATGAATTTTGATGTTTATAATTGTTTATATATGAAATAATAAAATGAAATTAAAAAATTACAATACAATTGGAATAAAATAGTATAAAAATTTGAAAATAAAAATTTATATATGGGTCGTGTCGGGCCATGCTGCAGACTGTCGTGTCCAGTACGACCCACTTTGTCGTGTCGTGTCGTGCCAGCCTGTACGCCTAAAAATCCAACCCGGCACGGCTCGTGTGCTACAATAACGAGTCGGGCCCGGCACGACCCGATTTACACCTCTAGGTTTCTCTACCCCCCTAAAACAAGTCAAATACCAAAACATTATATTTGGTGTATCGGTCACCGATACGATACAGGTTGATACCAATGTTTTAAAAGCACAAGGCATAATAGGTAATTTGCACCTGAGGCATAAGGCACAAGGCGAGGCGCATGCCTTTTTGAAGCAAGGCGCAAAAATACAAAAAAATAAATAAAAAATCAAAAAATATTAAACATAATATTAATAAAAAAAATATAAACTTAAATTTTAAAGTAAATGTTTTAAAATTAAACACAATAAAATATTAAACATGAAATGCATCTCGCCTGTGCTCCTAGGACCTAGGCGCATACCTAAACATTATTGGTTTTATTAGGGTATGTGCCTAGGCACACCTTTTAAATCACTGACCAACACATGATGAAATTTTGAACCTTGTAGCAGTGGAAGTGGTTGAAAGAAGGAACTCACTGGCTCAAGGGTTGACCAACAAATAGCAGAGAAGGGGACATCACGGGCAAGTTGTGCTCCAACACCTGTCCATAAGACGCGGTAGCTTTGAACTACAACAAAACGAAAGCAACAAAAACACATTAGCTCAATAGAAATGCATAGAATTCTTAATCTTAATGCTTACCACTTTCTTGTGAAACTAATTGAATATTAGTAGACATATTGGTCTACTTATGTCTCAGAAATTCTTGCATGGTGCTAGTGATTTAAAAGGCGCGCCTGAGGGCGCCTAGGCACAAAGCGAGGCGCATTTTGGGGTATGCGCCTCACCCAAGTCCTAGGCGCACCCCCTTTCAAAAGGCGCACTAGGCGTGTGCCTGATGCGCCTTGTGCCTCAACCTAGGCATGCGCCTTTTTTAAATTTTGCGCTTTTTGCCTTGGTTCCGCCCCCGGACCCCCGACCACGCCCCTCGAGGCAAACCCGAACAAGTCTATGTTAGGGCTTGAAATTCTTATTTCTCACATGAAAACCCCTATTTGCTAGTGTTGTTCATTCATTCATTCCAATAAAATATCTTCTTAAAAGGCAATTAAAGTTATAAAATCATTATTTTTCATGTAAGAAATAAGAATTTCAAACCCTAACATAGACTTGTTCGGGCTTGCCTCAAGGGGCGTGGTACAAAGGCGACTTATAAAATCAAGAATGCAATAGGATTTACATCACATTATCTACTTGAAGCAATGCAATTAAGGGGAAAAAAAGAGATTGTGGGTTTTACATGCTTGAAAATGCTTTATATATTTGCTTTTATTTTTAAATTTTCATTTGAATACGCTTTACATGTTATGTTTATGTATTTTAATTTTAGATAATTGGCTTTTTAAAACATTTATTTTAAAATTTATGTTTATATTTTTTATTAACATTATGTTTAATATTTTTTGCATTTTTTAAATTTTTTTGGCATTGTTTTGAAATTTCTGACTTTTTTTATTTCTTAGCTTTTTTTGTAGTTTTGTGCCTTTCTTAAAAAGGTGTGTGCCTCGCCTTGTGCCTTGCGCCTCAGGCGCAAATTGGCCCCCTGCGCCTTGCACTTTTAAAACACTGCATGGTGCTTAGTTCCATGTTTAATAACCCCACAAAATCTTTGTTTCAAACGGGGAAATATTTATCATTCATCAATTCAGGTTCCTTTAATAAAAATTAGGGAGTGTTTCCAATATGTGGAAGATATGGTCATCTGTCATGAGTCAAAAGTTGGTTACCAAATTCAATTCAACAATCAATACAAAAAGGATGGATATATGACAGATACTTTATATGTATGAATAAATGTTGCATGGAGATAAAAGATTGTCAGCATCTGAATTCTGAAACTAGTACAACATGTAAACTCAGCAAACCCCAAAACAGGGGATTCAGTGGCTTGGTGAGTATATGTAAACTTTCAAGTTTTATTTTTAAATTTTAATAACATTTTTGTTTTCTAAATAATGGAAATTTTGTTGCAAAATAAAACCAATTAAAATGAATAGTACCAAGTAATTAGATATTCAGAACATATGGGCAAATTTTATCATAAGAGTTCAAGATTTTTCAGGCACAATAAAAGATTCAACAGAGATAAATGTCTCCTTGCGTGTCAGAATATGTGCATACGCATTTTATGTGCATGACTGTTATTGCATGAATTCACTATCAGCTGTCCATCCAGTATATTTATTATTAATATATTGGCCATACATTCTCTCCCAGAAATTGCATTTGTACCTATACCTACAAAACTAGTTCAGTAAGACTATTTGATTACTTTTTACACTATATTCTTTATCAAAGAAAATCTAATGCCACATAACAAGTTGAATCATAATAAACCGTGCCTAATGTCCGAATGTGTGTGCGTATATATATAAAGGAGTAAGGTAATTTTATTAAAAGAAACATCATAATATACAGCAGCCACAGGGTGGGTACGGTACAACTTACAGTTATTTAGGTTACTATTTGCACTCCTGACAGGTGAAAGGACCCCAAGTAGAGTTTTCCATACTCCTGGAGGCTTTGCACCAGTTTGAGTTTCTTTAAATGCCTGAAATTAAAAAACAAATACAGAGTAAAAGAATTATAGATGTGTCAGTAAACTAAGTTGGAAGACCAGTACTCCAGAACATACAAGTGAACGAGCTCACACAGTCACTTGAAATTTCAACCCAAGGAAAAAACATTAAAAAAAAGCAGATCTCAAGAGAAGATTAAGCCTTCTTTCCAACAAAATAATTATGTCAAATACATAGAAAACTTAAAAAAAAAAGAGAGACAGATAATGGTAATAGTGGTGCTAGTTGTTTCTCATCAGCTTCATGTATTTTGCATAATGGTTATAATGGCTACCATGTCATATCCAGATTAGTTTATCAAAATGAGATAGGATTCAGATAGCAAATTAACAACTTGATTTGGTTATTTCACTTGAACAAATGGGATACTATCCTGGGGATATACTGGACCTAAATCAAAACAACCAGTTGATTAAAACAATCAAGACAACTGCATGATCTGACAACCAAAGTTTATATACAAGGATAGTGTCTGTTTTTTGTTTAGTAAGAGTCTAAATGACCCAGAGACCTTCCATATAAAGAGGGCCTCACATGTTCCTCTTGCTGAACTTTGTTCATGAGGTAAATTTTGGCTCAAAACCCCTTGCCACATGTTGAAGACAGACCTTCTATAGGGGCCTATAATAGAAGTTGGAAGTGGTGCTGAACATGTTGGAATCATCTAAGCCTAATCTTGTTCGGTTACATGAATCATGTTTCACCATTCCATTCTATTTAGTGGAACATGCAGAAACATGGATACTCAATAAAGTGTTTGACCCATAATGTGTTTAATGCTTATTTAACAAAATATCTGAAATCTGGAATCTGGAGACTACAAAAATTTGTAATCTTTTAAATTTTCAAGCCTAGGTGATGAACATGTTGCTGCTTACATACTATATTCAGATTTCAGCATGAATGCTCCAGCAAAATTATCATCATTAAATAGGGCAATACTGTAAATCCAGATTTAAATCAATAAATGATTTTCTTTGCTGATCAAAAAAAAAAGATTATCATCACTAAATATATACTTTGAATGGTTCATGTTGCTTGGTGAAAACTCCGGTGCAATGTGGGTATAGTGCTGATATGGACCAAGGGGGATGAATACATGGCTAATCCATAAGGTCCCCTATCCAGCGGATGAGATTCAGACCAGTCACTAAATTCCTCCACATGGATTAATTATATGGGATTTAGTTGTAAGCTCTCCTACTTGACCCAATTACAAAATCTCCATAGATCAGATGCATTTAACAAAAAAGCTCTGATGCACTGGCCAAGTTATGAGCTGATAATCATAACTCATAAGCATATAAAAATGTAGTTCCACAAGTTTAATACCTGCATGCGGGTTCTTGCTAATTCAATTGGATAGCAGGTAATGCAAGCCAAGGATCGTGCAACTGATCCTGCCACTAAGGGGACATATGGTGTCAAGCTAGGAGAATTCTTGGTCGTAAATTCCTCGATCCAATTACGGAAGATGTCATAGCATGGCAAATATATCCCAACCTGGTTGACAATTTAAAAATCATTGGCCACCATGAGAAGCCTTGTAAAAAAGAATTTTGGCATCCCAACAGAACTGTTCAGTAAAGATGCACTGATACAGGATCAGTCACCAACAGAAATGTTAAAAATATAGATGAAGCTTAACCAACGGCAAAGGAAAAAAGGGGAGTGGGAAGAACTTACAGTTGGCACAGCCAGTGCTAAGCCTGCATTAGTGCCTCTCCACAGCCTTGCAAATCCTTCCTGAACAAGCAAACCCCATTCAAACATCATAAAACCAATAAAAATGTGCAGTATAAACAGGCATATCCACTTAGGTGTATTCTTAAGCTCTAGGAGTATCTCTAGAAGGTAATAAAATGAGGGACAGTAGGCTATGTATAGTTTGGACATATCCATATAAGATCACCTACTGCATTAGTAAAAAGTGATCTGTTGCAAGTTGATGGATCTAGAAGAAAGCAGGCCAAAAAGGACATGGATTGAAGAAGTGACAAGTATGCAATTTACAACAACAAATAGGGCTCCCGAGAAAGTGAATTGGCAAAACAGGATGTAGCCAACCCAGTATAGTTTTGCAAGGCTTGGTTGAGTTGAGTACTGTTGTTAGAATGATTTGTTAGTTGTTTCTGCTGTTATAGTATTTTATGCTGTCAGTCTTAGTGCGCTGTCAGCTTGTTTACTGTCTTTTATTATTGTTTTTATTAGGGTGTGCTGCCAGGGGCAAGGATGTAATTTTTCCTTCTTTTATTTTTATCTCATTAATATAAATAGAGAAAGCTGGGCGCCACCAGCCTAATGTTTTGGCTCCCAAACAGACAATCTCTCTTCTCCTTCTCCCTCCCTCTTCTCTTCCTTCTTCTCCCTTTCTTCTCTTCTTCCTAGAAGAAAACATGGTATCAGAGCAAACTTCTGGGCAATAGGAGGATTTTTTCTCTCTCTGAACTACATATCCTCTCATCAGTTTTTTTTTTTTTTGATTTCTTGAACTGTGAGGTGCAAGAGCCCAATCGGAGTGGTCAGAATTCTCAAACTGACTTCTCTGGGTTCTTCCTTGATCGTAATACCAAGGAAACCCTAGTGGGTGACAGCCGATGCTGTGAAGGCTGCATTCTTGTTATGTTCACCTTCGTACAGTTGCTATATAGGAGGTTGTGTGCTCCCTCGTTACAGGTATGTGCTGCCTTTTTTTTCGGGTGTGGCTTGTGGGGCATAATGGTGATACTAATTTTTTGGGTCTGTTAGTTACTGGTAGTGATGCTTTCAGCAGGGGTGTTCCATTCTAGGAGGCAGATTGGTGTGTGTTTTGTGCCTACATGTGTGTTGCGTAGTAGAAATAGGGTAGAGACCTATTTCTGTGTACATCAGTGGTTCCTTTTGAATTGTAGAACCTGCCCAACATGGAAACTGAGGATTCAGCTTCGTCTGGGGTTACACCAACTCGTGGCACAGCTGGTATGAATGCTGAGAATATGTTTTTTCCGATGCTAATCAGCCCTTTGAATGGTTTGAACTATCTAGAGTGGGCTAAAGGTGTAAAACTATATATTACAGCTAGGGGAAAAGCTGGATAAATATATGGAAGAGTAAAAGAACCTAATGGTGGGACAGCTGAACATGACAGGTGGGATCAGGAGAACAGTATGGTGATGCCTTGGCTACTTGCAGCCATGGAACCAAGTGTAAAGAAGAATTTTATATGGGCAGAGACTGCAAATGAGATATGGGAACAAGTTAAACTACCTACTCTGAGCAAAGACACTATGCTAAGATTTATTAGTTACAGGCTGAATCCTCAACCTGTAAACAGGGTGTCCGCAGTTTGTCAGCATATTATTCAGCTCTTACTTCTGTTTGGAAGGAGTTGGATCACTATCAGACTATAGAATAGAAGAATGATGATGCCAAAGCCTATAAGAAGTTGGTATATCAGCAGCGGGTCTTTGCTTTCTTGTTGGGACTGAATCCTATGTATGGGCCTCTAAGAGTTCAGATTTTGGGAAGTCATGAATTGCCTTCTCTCCAAGAGGTGTATGCCTTGGTCCAATCTAAGGAAAGTAGACGGAGTTTAATGATTGCAAATGAGGGGGAGCAATAGATTGCATTAGCTGCAACAGGTGGTACTAATGTAGGAAAGAAAAGTGGTGATCCCAAGAAAGCTGATGACAAGGATAAGTTGTGGTGCACTCACTGTCGACGCTCAAGACATACTCGTGCTTCATGCTGGGAGAGCTCTTTGGAAAACCAAAGTGGGCTGTAAAAAAGGAAGAACAGGGTAAGGTGCAGGGCCAGAAGAAGAAATATGCAGCAAATATGGCAGCTCAAAATTCTCAATCTACTGGTAACCCTAGTGCAACATAGGAACAGTCCATGAGTTCTGACCCTAAGGAAGATATCATGAACTCATTCTGTAATCATCTGGGATTGTATGGTAGGGCTCTATATCAGATGGACAACTCAATTACTAGTACTCCCTCAAATTCATTTGCATCTACATCAAGTAATGCTACCTTCGCCTTCCATGTTTCCATTGCCACTCATTCCCCTTGGATTATTGATTCGGGGGCCTCGAACCACATGACCGATAAGCCAAATCTTTTCTAATCAATATCTCTTCCCCATGGCCTCAACCTTAATAATGTGTTACACATACCTAAACTTCCTATCAATTTGCTTTCCATTAGTAGTATCACAAAGTCTTTAAATTGTAGTATAACATTTTTTCTTGGTTCATGTATTTTTCAGGATCTAACTTCTGGGAGAACAACTGGTAGATGGTCACTATACTCTTGACAACAAGACTGGTTTCTTGGTGTCATTTTTAGTTGGGTCGTCTTCAAAGTCACATTGTTAGTTGGGTCAATCCAATAAGAGTCAAGTTATTTTGTGGCATAATCATCTAGGCCATGTGTCCTTTGAAATATTAAAGTATTTGTTTCTGTCCTTATTTAAGTCATGTTCGGTGTCAGATTTTCAATGTAAAACGTGTCAATTGAGTAAACATTGTAGAATAACTTTTCATTCAAGTAATAAAAGAGCAAGTTTCCCTTTCCATATTGTGCATTCTGATGTCTGGGGGCCTACTACTATAACTTTTGAGGGTGGATATAAATACTTCATCACCTTGATTGATGACTTTTCTTGTTATACATGGATATTTCCTATGCATACCAAAGACGAAGTCCCAAAGATTATAAGGGACTTCTAGAGGATGGTGTTCACACAACTTCATGTTGAGATTCAGATCTTTCAATCAAATAACACGAAAGGATATTTCCATGGTGAGCTTAATGAATTTTTTGCTTCCCATGGATCCCTTGACAAGAGTTCATGTGCAAGAACACCACAACAAAATGGTGTTGTTAAAAGAAAGAATAGACATCTTGAAGTAGCACGGGGGATGATGTTACATATGAATGTGCCGAAACGTTTCTGGGTAGATGTTGTTCTTGTTGTTGCATATGTAAGCAATCACATGCCCTCTAGAGTATTGAACTACAAGTCGCCCCATCAGTTGTTGTTTCCTCAATCCCCTCTGTTTTCCATCCCTATGAGGGTGTTTGGTTGTCGTGCCTTTGTTCATAATTTGTCTCCTCATGGCAAGTTGGACCCTCAATCTATTCCATGCATCTTCCTTAGGTATCCTTCCTCTCAGAAGGGGTACCGATGGTTTGATCCTGTTGTTCATAAGTACTTTATCTCTATGGATGTTTCCTTCTTCGAGTCTAAACTATTCTACCCTGCCTCTCCTCAGGGGGAGAGTAGTACAGGAGAGGAAAAACAGTTTAAGTCTCTCTTCCCTCCATTCCAAATCCAACTCCATTTCGTGTCTTCCTACGTACACGCTGTAGAGACCAACAATGTTCTAAAAATGTAGAGCTATTGGATACTAAGCAAACGACGCCATCAAACTCCCAGGAGGCAAATCCAAATGAGCCAAGCACCCTTGTCCCCGTTGATTCCCCTGTTCCCATTTCGGTTGTGGACGATCTTGACATCCTGATTGCTCACAGAAAGGGAGTTTGATCGTGAACTACAAAACACCCTATTACCCACTATGTATCTTATGATCATATTTCCCCCCCTCACCATGCATTCTTATCTGTTGTTGTCTATTGATAGTATTCCCATACCAAAAAATGTGGCAAAGGCCCTAACTTGTCCTGAATAGACAGATGCTATGAAGGAGGAGATTAATGCCCTCCATAAAAACCACACTTGGGAGTTGGTGGATCTTCCAAAAGGAAAAGACCCGGTGGGGTGTATAAGTGGGTGCTTACTGTGAAACACAAGGCTGATGGAACAATAAAAAGATGCAATGCAAGGCTAGTAGCAAAAGGGCACACAAAAGTTTAGGGTATTGTCTATGATGAGACTTTTGCCCCTGTAGCGAAGATGAATTCAATCCGGGTTTTGTTATCATTGGCTGGAAATCTTGATTGGGAATTGCATCAACTTGATGTAAAAAATGCCTTCTTAAATGGTGATCTGGAGGAGGATGTTTTTATGGTTCAGCCACTGGGCTTCTATGCCAAAGGAAGTGAGAATAAGGTGTGTAAGTTGAGAAAGTCCCTCTATGGCCTAAAACAATCTCCTAAAGCATGGTTTAGCAGGTTTCATATGGCAGTTCAGCAAGTAGGATTCAAACAATGTCAGCCTGATCACGCTCTCTTTGTTAAGAGGTGTCAAGAACAAGTTGCAATGTTGATAGTGTATGTGGAAGATATCATTATCACAAGGAACTGGAACTCCAAAAAAACCAAGGTTGAAGGAGTTCTTGGCTTCTCAATTTGAGGTGAAAGATCTAGGTCCTCTAAAGTACTTTCTTGGGATTGAGGTTGCCCGCTCAAAAATGGGTATCTTCATCTCTTAGAAGGAAGTACATTCTAGCTCTGCTACAAGATATAGGCAAGCTAGGTGCAAAATCAGTAGACACCCCTATGGATTTTAATCATAAATTGGGTGATTGTGATGGTGAACCTCTAAAAGATGTGAAACAGTTTCACAGACTAGTGGGAAGATTATTTGTCCATGACACGCCTGGACATAGCTTATCCGGTTGGTGTTCTAAGTTAGTTTATGCATTCCCCTAAGACACCACATATGGAGGCTGCAGAAAGAATTCTTAGGTACCTAAAGAAGTATCCAGGAACTGGCTTACTGTTTCATAAGCACAACCATCTGAAAGTGGAAGTTTATACAGATGTCGATTGGCAAGTGCTATAGATGACAGGAAATCTACAAGTGGGTACTGCACTTTTGTGGGAGGAAATCTAGTGACATGGAGGAGTAAAAAACAAAATGTGGTTGCAAGATCTAGTGCTCAAGCTAAGTATAGGATATGGCACATGGGGTGACTGAAGCACTTTGGATGAAGAATTTGTTAGGAGAGCTTGGGTTTATAGTTAATAGCCCCATGTCTCTTTACTGCGATAATAAGGCAGCCATAAACATTGCTACTAACCCTGTCCTCCACGACAAGACAAAACACATTGAAGTGGACAAGCACTCCCATACAAGAGAAGTTAGAAAAGGATGAAATCTGCACCCCATATATTAACTCCAAGGAGCAGATGGCCAATATTCTCACAAAAGGACTTCCATACTTGCGACATAATGAGCTATGTGACAAGTTGGGCATGATAGATATATTCAGCCCAACTTGAGGGGGAGTGTTGTTAGAATGATTTGTTAGTTGTTTGTTGTTTCTACTGTTATAGCATTTTATGTTGTCAGTCTTAGGGTGTTGTCAGCTTGTTTACTGTCTTTTATTATTGTTTTTTATTAGGGTGTGCCGCCAAGGGCAAGGATGTAGTTTTCCCTTCTTTTATTTTTATCTCATTAATATAAATAGAAAGTTGGGCACCGCCAGCCTAATGTTTTGGCTCCCGACCAGCAAGTCAATAAGGTAAACCAAAGGTAAGAGGACCAGGTCCCAGGTCAAATGGTCAAAAACCTCAATTCCCCGTTACCAAAAGAAGCCCTAAGAAGCACCAATATACATCAGTGAGTTCTTACAACTTGTATAGATTTTCCTTGTGTTCTTTGTCTTCAAAAGAAAAATGAGTATGGAAATAAACCTGTCTAATGATTTTGTAGAAGACATCAAGTGTTCCCTTGTACCGAAAACAATCAGGAGGGCAAGCCATTTCAGCACCAAAATATCCGGCACGAGTGCATGATGGAGAACATCTTAGGTCTGAAAACATCTGAACCAACATATTCCAAAGCAAAATTAATTGGCACAATCATTGCAAAGATGGAAAATAATACAAGTTCCATTTCAATAATATAAGGACCACATTGGCAAAAAAATAATGAATTAAAGAACCAAAGCAGAGGTGATGGCTCATCCTTCTGACTTGGGAACCATGTGAATCAAATGCCCATGGTTTGGGGAAAGGAGAATTCAAGAATACTTTTTTAGACTAGTTGAAGATCGAGGAAAAGAACATGGAGGTTATCTCTTGAGACCAGTGACATGACTGCTTTTAGGGTCTTGTACCTGGTTTTGAGATAGATTGCCAAGGACGATTGTTTTCAAGGACATGGATGATTATGTAGCAAATAAATTACCTAAATTGGGGATTAATTGGAAAAAGAAAGCTCAATGATTTGTCAAAAATAAGTAAATAAATAAGCAAGCTCAATGTTACCAACTACCACCATTTAGTGCATTGTTAAACAGAGAATTCCAGCATATGAAGCAATATTTAACATCTAAATCACAAAGATCAAACCATCATTTGTTAGGAATATTATTTGGTTAACAGCTATTGTGTGTATTATTACATATACATATCATTATACCAAACTCTCTCTAAATCATGAGATACCTGTTCTCTTGTTGAATTGCTGTTTACATTCTTTACAAGAATTAAGACAAATGTCAATAAAACCTGAACCTGAATGTCAAGATTGAACACAACATACCGTGTCTGGTCCAAGAGAAGCCATACAACCATTAACTTGATGTCTTGAATGTGAATAAGGAACTCCAGCGGCCTGAGCTTGTAATCTCGTCTGAAGTGTAAGGGAAGAATTAAAATATATATATTTTATCGAATTTAGATCCATTACAAGACCTAAATCTAAGAAATGTAGTCAAAGCATCTGGCAGAAAAGTCAAATTTCCAAATTGCAGAAACGAGCATCAACCATTGTTCTCAGAAACATGTATACAACAACACTAAAAATTGAATGGGAAAAAAAACAAAAAAAAAACTCTTCTAAAGAACCAATTATGGAGTACCTATGTCCTATCTGTTATATGAAAAACAAAGAAGCAAGGGCAAATTTTGTTCTATCTTTTAAAATTAAAAAAAAAAAGGAAAGAAACAAAAGAGCAAACATAAACACAATCACAAATCAGCAACATCAATCTCCAAAACAAATACAGCATAATAACAACCAATATTTCACCAAAAGAAATTTTTTTGGTCGTTATTCTAAAAACAAAAAAAAAAGTAAGAATGCAACTACAAGAACTGTATTGCTTCAAGCTACTGCATTTGAATAGAAGCGGAAAGCAGGATACGTAACGACTTATCTATCTCAAACATAGTGAAAGAAGAAAAATATCGAACCAGAAAAGAAAAAGGGAAAAGTTAAAAATAAAAAACCGAATAGAGAACTTACAATGGCGAGCAACAATCTCAAAGAAGGAAGAAAGTAACAAATGGGCATACTCTAAAATCGCAGAAATAATAAATAAAATCATCGAATACATAATAGGGAGCAATAGATACCTTGGCGACATCAAGGGGGTTAACAAGGATCGCTGATAGGAAGGCAGCACCAGCGGCAGAGAAGGCACGCTCTCCGAATCCCAAATTGGCATCGGGAAGTGTGTTAGGATTGTTGGATTGAGGTGAAGAAACTTCCCTCCTATCTTTAAACATGGCGTCAGACATCGAAGAAACGTTCCCGTCGAAATCGACTCTTGATGCCGCTGCGCTCATCCATGAAGGAAAATTATGCCTTGAGCCCCCCATCCCTTTACACCAAAAACTCGCCGCCCCAAATAATAACTTGAGAGATAGAAAATGAAAAGGAACCAGAAGAAGTTTAAAGACAGGGATCGAATGGAAAACAGACTTTAATTCACTTAGAGGAGAATAAATAAACCAAAACCCACCAGAGATTCTGATAAAAACAATGGAGAAAAGAAACAGCCCAGGAAAATATTCACAACGAATAACCAAAAAAAAAAAAAAGATCAAATAGATTAGCTCGAATTCTTCCTCGTAATACTTTTGACAAAAGAAAAGCAGAACTGAAGTTGAAATTGTCCTTATTGACTTCAGATTCGACCAAGTAGTTTAGTATGCCGAAGAGCAAAAGGAAAGGTAATTAGTAAAAATAAGGGTAGCAGTAGGAAGAGAAGACTGAAAGGAGGAGAAGAGACTCTGCTGCTCTATTCGAGCTATCGAAGAGAAAGAGAATCCCGAAACTGTTGGGCCTGTACTGTAGGAAAAATGGGAACGAGAGGGGGACTCTCCACTCTCCGTGGTCTGTGGTAATTTTTTATTAGAATATGGGGAGGTAAGTATTCTAGGGCTTTCTATTGTCCATGGAGTCATGGGAAAGGAGGGGAGCGTCAAGCGTGACACGGACACGTGGTGTTGAAATTAGAGCGCCCAAAGTCCAAACAACAGAAGAGTGGCAGGGACTCGAGCACGGTGATCAAGAGAAGTAGAGAATCTTTCTCTTCCCCTCCCGCTCTCTAATATTAATATGTGAGAGAACTGACAAGGGGAAAATGCGGAAAAATATTCTGAATTCCATTGGAGATTTATAAACCATTCTATATAAAATTAATATTAATTTCGAATTGACATTCACTCCAATTATATTTTGGGCTGGGCTTAAAGATACTGATCCTAGGCTGAATCGTTATTTTCTTAAAATGTGAAAAAGTATAAATAAACCCAAAAATTCTAACCCTGAGCTGAACGTTATTTTTCCAAATTTATGAAGATCACATCATTGATCCTTGATTGATTTATGTTTTTGTGGTATCATATTTAGTCGTAAGTCGAAACCCTCAAAAAACAATACAAATTTATGAGTGTAGTAAATCATAATTTTTTCTTTTTTTATCCGACTATCAAAATAGAATCGACTGGAACCCTAATCAAAGAAAAATGGTATTAAAAAAAATTAGAGCCAATCAATCAGTATAGTGTTCGTCAAAATTCACTAGACGTGACGTTTTGATTCATCAAAGCTCTTCTCGTGCCATATCTTTTTTTTATTATAAACTTTTATTTTTTTAATTATATTTTCTCAAATTCCATTTATACCACCATTACCCTTGCGTCCCATAGGTTGTAAGGTTGCAAGGGGCTACTCGAACGGTGCGAATACCAAATTGCTCAAGCCGAATTATGCGCCGCACAGGCCACAGCCCATCCCTCCTATGCATTGAGAACATCTCCCTGGGGGAAAATATTTCCGATGCGGTTTTAGTTTACCTCTTGTTGGCTGTTTCAGGTGGTGAATGTACTCGCGAATAAACATGTGTGCTTTGGAACTGCTACATGTTCATATGATGACGTGGACAAGTATTATATTTCCACAGACTCAGAATCGGTGAACGAGTTAAAATCAGCCCCCCACAACGTCCCGACATCATTGGGAGATATTCACAGTACACGGCAGAGATGTGCTGTGGGACGTTGTCGGGGGCAATCTTGTATGATTGGGGGGGGGGGCTGATTTGATCTCTCGGTGAGCGTTCCTACTGAATCATTATTGCTCCACAAGATAGAGTAATAGAGACGTGGGTAGAACACGTGGCGCATTGGGTAGAGGATACGTCACGGCTGAGGCCACCTTGTTTTGCGACACGGCTCTTTCTTTTGTTGAGGTTGGGGGGTCCATTCCTAATTTCCGATCTCCTCCAAGGCCCCAACGCCATATTGTATTGCTTGTAGTTGTAGAAGGGGTACAGAGTGTAACAGTCTCTAATTGCAACTTGCAAAATATAAGGAAACGTCCCTTATCCCCTGGCCACAGGTCCACAGCTACACCGATGACCGGCCGGAGCCTATGGCTGGCCGGATTTTGAATTGAATACATAAGGCGTTGACATTGTAGTGAGGATCGAGGAATGAGCTTGAGGCAAGGCTAGTGACATTTCATATTCAAGTCACTTCTTTAGCATTGGAAGGAACAAAGGAGTGACCCATATTTAATCATGTAGGCTTGCACAATATCATATTAATCCCGCTCTTACTTCTTATAAATAATAAGATTAAATTTTGATTCTACTTAAAAAATTATTGTCATACATACATATATATATATATATATATATATGTATGTATACAATAATATAAAATTTTAAATTGCATACATTTATTATACATGTATAAGATAAAAGTAATTAATTTTTTAAATTTTATTTAAACTAGTAAATATGCATATGTGTTGTACATGGCAATTTTAGATAACATTAATAATTTTAATATCCTTATTAGAATCATTTAAAAATGATAAATAATCAAAACATGATGGGGTGGTGGATTTAGATTTTATATTTCACTTTCATTGTTAATAAAAAATACTTCTCATTTATTATATTTATTTTTGTTTATTATGATAAATATATAATATTAGAGATGTGCACAAATTTTGTAGACAAATTTTTGTGTTTTCTATATTTTTTATTTCTATCTATTTTTTGAGTTTTTATTATATAATTATGACAGCGTGTGCTAGCCTATTCAACTTGAAAGAAAACAGTTTCATTTTTTAGCAACTTTAACTTTTTTGTTCAATTTACATAATTAATTCTAAAAATAATTTTTGTTTAATGGGATAAGTTTATAATATCTTAGATATGTCAAAACTTTCTATAAAATTTATGTTTTTTTTGTGTTTCTATCTATTTTTATTATATAATTATGACAACACTAGTTAACCCATTTACCCAAGCGATTGGACCATTATGGTGCAAGTTAAGTAGGTTGGGCTGAATTTAAACTTAACCCAAGCCCAACCCTATACATTAGACTTAAGGCTTCTAACCAAAGTCAAGCCTAGTCTATTCAACTTGGGCCCGACCTGCATTAAAATTTGATGCACTTGGGTTAGCCTTGGACATGGTTATGTCAATTAGTCTTAGGCATGGATTCGAGCTAAGCCGAACCAAATATTTGGTTATTTGAGCTCACTCATAGAAATGGTGTTAGGCTCGAGTTCGATTTAAGCAAGAGACTTGAGCTCAAACTCAGCTCGGTTCAAAAGCTTGCAAGTTTGAGCTCAGCTCAGCTCAAGCTCGACCGCAAGCCAAGCTTTTTCTAAAAAAATAAGAATTATGCATATAAAAATATATTTTTTTATTTTACATACAAAAAAATTAAGAATTATAAAAATTATTTATTATTATACATACAAAAAATAAGAATTATAAAAATTATTTACTATTATACATAAAAATAAAAACATTATATATAATAAAAATTATTTATTATTTATATGTATATGTATATGTATGTATATATAATAAAAATTATTTATTTATACTAGGCTCGATTAGGTTCGCAAGCCTCACAAGCTGAACTTCTCTAAGCTTAAGCTTGGATCGATTAGCAAATGAGTCTATATATCTAGCTCAAAGCTCGGTTTAAACTAAGTCGAGCTGAGCTTGAATAGTTTGTGAAAAACTTGACTCATGGCCACCCCAAATTAGTCCCATGACAAAACTTGAGATAAAATGTATTTGTATAATTGCATGTACATGCATGAATGCAAATATATGCTATATACGTATTTATGATTGTATGTGAATAATTAAGCATGACCTTAGTTACCCAAGGGCCAGGCTTAGGCCCAACCAGGGAAAAAAATAAAAATTTTGAGCCTAGGCTAAGGCCCAAGTCGATGACCAAAAATCAAAGCTAGCATGTCTCAAATTAAGGTTAATTTGAGCTCGAGTTAAGCCCACCTAATTTGCCTCCCTAAGGACCATTGACTATCAATTAGATTCTTTTTTATGTTAGTTTACTTTTTAATTATATTTCTATCATTAATAAAAATAACTCTCATCTATCAAACTTATATTTGTTTCATATGTTGAATACATAATATTAGAAATGCACAAACTGTTTTTTTTTACAAAATTTRTATGTTTTTAACAAATTTTTTCTCCATCATTTTTAAAAATTTTACTATTTATTTATGATATCATGGGTTGATCCATTTTACCTAAAAGGTTGAACCATTGACCCATCACTTGAATTGGAAAATGGTTTTGTTTTTTGGTCAATTTTAAATCTTGAATTTCATTCTCATCGAATAAAAAATACTTTTATTTAACATGCTTATTGTTGCTTGATATAATAAATAAATAATATTAGAGATGTGCCTAATTTGTTCACAGTTTTTTATAATTTTTGTAATATTTATATTTATTATTAAATTTTTATCATTTAACTATGAGAACATTGGTTAACCCATTTGATTTGGATGGTTGAACTATTTACTTGCCACTTGGATAAAAGGGTGGTTTATTTAATTATTTTTTGTGTTGATTTTGAACATGGGTTTTAAATTATTGAAAATATTGGAGATAGATTTGATTTGTAGAATTTATTGACGAGGAACTAAAATACTTCAAATAAATTATGTAAATAGAGAGAATGATAATTAATGCCTTAATGAAAGGGAATGTAATGAAATGGAAATTAATAGTACTTTAAATTATATATTTTGCTCATACAATTAAAGAGGGACTAATTTCATAAATAGGGGTGTTTTAGTCAAGAAAAATATACATAGCTCATTTATTTAATGTGCTTTAAATATGAGATTTAATAAAAATAAATAGGAGTTAATGTCTTAAATATAAGACTTAATGATGAAGAATATATTGAATTTAATAAAAGTAGCGGTTCAAATTATGATTTTTGCCCTTATATTGTTGGAGACCAAACTCAAAAAAAAAAAAAGCGTATTTTAGTCAAAAAGTTCCTAAATCTTGACCTCATTCACACTTTTAATAGTAGCATATAGATATATAGATTTTTATCATTCCAAGCACAATAAGTTGGATAAAAATTAATTAAATCTGGATACTCCAACATATTGGATTCAGGTCAGAATTAGATCCAACTGTTTAATAATTAGATCGGATGCAAATGGAGCTCGATCCTTTTAGAATCTAGTCCAATTACTGGCTTACTCAACAAGGTGTAGATTGTGCAGTGTAGAAAGTAGAAACACCTAACTATTTAAAGGTTTATAATATACTTTTCATCTTCTACTTGTCCTCTAAAGATCATATCTGCAAAATATATTTAACTATCTTGTTATGTTGATTTCTGGTGGATAGTTTTAGTCAGATACAAGGTGTTCATAAAAAACTGGAAATTTGAACTGAACTTGGAAAACCAAATTGAAAAATCTAATTAACTGAATTGATCATTCTGTATGTTTCAAAAACAAGGGTATTGGTTTGGTTTTGGCTAACCTAAAAAACATAGGTACTAGCTATTACATTCGTACATCTGAAACATCTCCCCAGTCCCCACGAATGACAGGGCAGACGAACCAAATTGAAAAATCTAATTAACTGAATTGATCATTTGGTATTTTTCAAAAACAAGGGTACTGGTTTGGTTTTGGTTAACCTAAAAACAAAGGTACTAGCTATCTTACATGGGAAACATCTCCCCATGAATGACAGGGAGATGTTCCCAATGCACAACTGCAATGACCTATTGGAATAGTGTTGGGAGCATTTGCATTTGGTAGTTGGCCTTAATCCTACACGCAAATGTGTATAATGAAAATGATGCTTTGTTAATCCAGATCTCCTACCCACAGGACACTATAGCTGTACATCAGGAACATCTCCTCATGAACAATAATATATTAACATGCAAATATGGGATAAGTTCTCAATATGTGCCTATAATGATAGTATTTGGTATCTCTTGCTAAGAGTCAACTTCATTGTAATGATACCATGGAACAAAGACAGATGTTGTTGCTACAGTCCTCTACATTATGCATTGCAACACCATATTCTTTTTTATACTTGAAAAGTTATAGGGTAAATTGCTAAAACTTTCCCTGAAGCTTTCGACCATTGCTGAAACCTCCCCTGAAGTTTGGTAATTGCAATCACTTACCCTGAACTTTTTGACACAATTGCAAATAGATCCACTCTGTGCAAGAGGCACAAAAATGTTCAAAATAACCAATTAACCATGCTTACTTTTGCCAAAATGATTATTTTCCAAATTATTTCTTCATATCAATCCCTGCCCCAAGCCCATCTAATCTATTTTGGACATTTTGGAGCCTCTTATTAAAGGATTTTAACAAAAGGGGTCTAATTACAACCGTGTAGAAAGTTCAGAGAAGGTAATTGCAATTACCAAATTTCAGAGATTTCAGCAATTTACCCAAAGTTAAAAACACTATTCTTTTTTGATACTTGTAAAAATCTTTTAAGACTCTTTCTGTGGTAATATCAGAAAAAGCCCCATCAACAACAATTATTAAAATAAAATGGAAATATACATCATAATGTTGATCATCAATACGTCATTGGAATGCCTCAAATTATTACCGTTAACTTGAGGAGCAAGGAAAATGAATCCATTTAGAAAGAAAGAAAAAAGTAGTCATTGTTCTGAATCCATTTAGAATAACGCAATTTTTGTTGTTTTTTTAAGAACAAAGCTACAGTCATTGTTCTGTATTTTCACCTCATGAACAAATTTATTTATTCGTGGCCCTAATTTTTCTCACGAGATGGAAAATGCCATTGAGGACAGCCCAACTTCCTTGACTAGCTTGTAACAGCCCACGTTAGAGTGGCTGCTGCTTCTAGAAATTCGGCCAAATTCAAAAAATGCAAACCTGGAAAAAGGTATGTGGTTTGGTTTTAAGAACGAGTACATAAAGGAAGATTTGGACAACTAAGCACAGTGCAGAAAAATGGTCTTCTGGACATATATAGATATATACTTGTGTATTTTAGAAGAAAATTTTGGCATTCTTCATGTGCAAGTATGTATATTTTATACAATATATTAAATATTATTGATTGAGTTTCTGAGTTCCCGTATTTTTGACAAATAACTATTTGCTTACTGAACACTTCATTAAATATAAATATGCAACTCTAATATAAAAATAGACGTTAAAATCAGCCTTGTCCAAACTATTTGGGATCAACTACATGAATCTCGTTTAGTCATCCCAACTATAGGTTCTGGCGCAAACTATTTCAATCTACCTAAACAAGTGCTATAGTTGGTTTTCTGTGTCCATGACCAAACTATTTCAATCTACTTTTGTCTCATTTTATCATTTATTCCTAAATTCCTTCCCATGGTTTCGGTTCTTGGATATATTGTTTATAAACTGTTCAATACTCTGATCCATACAACATAACTAACCTTACAAATATTTTATAGAATTTTCCTTTTATCTGAAATGATATTTGCCTATCACATAAGGCTCCTAATGCACTCCTCCATTCTATCCACCATTCTCTAAAAACACACATTTTTAGACATCCTGTTGTTAACCGCTGATAAATACTAATATATTTTATTTTAGCCATGTATATTAATATTTATCAACATTCTAATTATCACAATATAGGAGAAATTTTCTTAGAAAATATATCTGCATCCAAGGACGTATGAGAATCCTATTTCACATGGTTGGGTCACTTGGTGGTGCCCAATCTAGGATCTTAGTTTCATGGGAGAACTCTTCTTCATCACCCCATAGTCAATACAGATATGTACAATACAAATACATATTTCATACTGAGGCTCAGTATGAAAAGAGTACTTATAAAATAATACAAAATACAAGACTGCACTGTATGTATTTGTATTTGTACTCTTTTCAAACTGACTGCATTTGGTTGTAGTGCAAATAAATTTGCACAGATGCAAACCTATGATGGTATAATATAAGTGATTTGGGTACAGATTCTGATTTATTTTTGTTTCAAAATTTACCTTTATTTTATTTTATTACATTACTAATGAAGTAAAATAAGACCTGAAGCAGAACAAAGTAAAACCCATAATAAATTTAACCTATAATTTGCATTCCCATGCAATTGTATTAGTGCAAATAAAATTGTACCGCAACCAAACACAGCCTGAGGAAAAAAGGATGAGAGGGCATAGTAGAGTTGTGGTTTGCCACCCCTTACCTAGCATCTTAAATGCTCCATAGGGCAATTATAATATCCCTTCACGAACCAAAGGATGGATCGAGTGGATATGCCACTTAAGGGGCAAGGATAATCATGTAAGGGTTACCAGTGAATCAGTTATAAAAATCCCTACACCAAGGAGATAACAGACAAGAAATGCAACATTGGGAGTATGCAGGCTAGTCTATTACTTGGTCACATCAGGCCTTGTTCCTTCTACCTGGGCTATACATGACAGAACTGAATGGATATAAGGATCTAGAAGCACCGTGTGATAGTCTATATTTTGGTTAACAAAAGCAAAAGAGGGGGGGGACCCATGATCCCTCTACCAGGCCAAAAAATGGGGACAATAACCATAGAGAGCAAGAAATGAGGACAAAATCTATTCCCTGAAATCTAATCCAGTGAAGACTGAAAGGTGAGATGAGGGAGCCAAGTTCGTTCTGGAATCTAATCCACTAAGGACTGAAAGGTGAGGAAAATTTAAGACCTGCCGAAGGAATCAAACCAAGATACAGAGGATAGCATTGCAAATTAAATACTGGAGGATTCAGTTTTCATACAAAACAGAAAGATTGATCTATTGTTTAGCAAGCATTACCTCAGTCTAAAAGGAAAATCCAATGTTTGAATAAGGATTTTACCCATTGAGTTCAAGAACTTGCTTGCAAAGGAGGACCTGAGAAAACTAGAATTGAAGGTTATGGTAGAAGATGTAACTGTTGTTGAATTAATCGCGTAGGAGGATCCTGTTATAACCTTGATTCAGCCTACCATAACATGCATTTGTTGTAACTAAAAGTACACTCGGTATAGAATGGTTAAAAAGAAATTAAACAAAAAAAACTATGTTAAAAAAGGATCTGCATCTTTGTAACATCAAGAGAGAAAACTTGAAGTAAATTGCTCACATAGTAACATTTATCTGTTTTTCCCTTCCCTTTTTAAGGGTTTCCTAGCTAGCCCCCCTGTCATACATAAATGACAGGATCAAGTTCAACTTAGTCAACCTCAGTAAATGAAAGTCTTTTAACTGAACCATTTTGTAACAGATTTAGTCCAACTTGACCAATGTTTCCTATTAAAAAAAAAGAAGAAGAAGAAGAAGAGGGGAACTAAAGCTCTTGCCATTGAATTTGAAATTGGCCTACAGATGTATCAAGTCAGAAAATCCCCTGTATGTTTCTTCAAACCTGTTAATGCTTTTCCTTGCTCTTTGAATCTACGTCTGGTTGATTCTGTCTGGCTAAGGAGAACAACTTCACTTTCTACAAAGGATATCAAAAGGAAGAAAAGAATGAAAAAAACAACTCCCACAAGATTAACATTATAGAAAAAGGAACAGCAGATGCAGCTATAAGCAAGAATACAATAATGACAGGCCAGTAAGCAAATTGCAGTTGCATAATTTTTTTTGAATTCTTTTGAAGGGCTACACAATGGGGGTAGCCCATCCCCCAACCCAGGTGCATGCGGGATTTGATCCCAAGTCTCCGCTACAACCAGCAGGAGACCTTACCAACTGACAACTGACCCCATTTGAATATAACAATATGATGCAGCCCATTTGGGCCAAACACAACTGACCCCACATTTTTTTTTGTAACGGTCCACCTCAATGGCCCTGTTAGGAAAATCCGAAAAAAGTATAACGGAAAAAGAATCTTCTATAGATGTTTTCTTGCTCTTCAGGTTAGGGTTTTGCCCAGAAGGCAAATGGGCAAATCCACCTACCACTACAGAAGAAATGAAAGTCTGTCAAATTTGCTTTGCAACTTGTTTGCTTGGAGAAGACTCACACTTCTTCCCCTCAAATGGTAAGATTCCATCTCTCCTCTCCTCTAGGTCGGAGACACTCTAAGCAGAGGATTGGAATAGCAGCAAAACACTCTAATTATCCTTTCTAATTCATCTATTCTCTTTATTCTCCTTATTCTCTTCTTTGTTTTCTTTCCTTTTTTGTGCAAAACACCAATGAGCTTCTTTTGATCTCTTGCAAGTTCAGCAGCTTAAGCAAGATCACTTCAGAGTTCATGTCCATGTAAACCCTCACCTTAGGTTTTGTGCCAGCACCACGGAATCTCATGTTGCTAAAGTAAGCAGCAGTGCAGCACATTCTGTTGGACATTGGGCTCAAACAGTGATAGGGGTCAAAACAAGGTCCGAAGTCTAATTACCCACTAGTAAGGTCTCTTTTCTCAACTAACAGATAATGATTCTAAATGATAAGACCTGTTTCTATATTTTAGCCCGTGTGGTTAAAGAGTTCAGGTTACTGTATCTTTGCAGCTATAGATGTTATGTGAGACTAATGGGATTAAAAGACCATTTCAAGTTTGCATAATGCTGTCCCTATATTCTAATGCTATCAAAATTCTTATAATGAAACATGGAATTGGATTGAGATAGAAGAATTTAACAATGAAGCATAATAGTTTGTTGAAAATTGGGAGCACTGGAACTGAAAGAAAAGTAGGAACAGCAGTTTGTGATGAAACTTGTTGCAGTTTGGAACTCTTATGAACTGAATGGCTGGTCTTGTATTGCAATTGAATTTCAACCTTTCTTACTCCATAACAGATAAAAAGCAATTATGAGTTGTAACCAAAAAGAAAGTCACAGCTTCCTATGAATGGTGGGAAGAATGTTAAGTTTCACTACCATCAATTTAACCCAAACTAATAAAGTTAACTACAGTACCCTATACTAGTGAGAAGAATGTAACTTCCACCTTCATCAACAAGAATATTAACTCATAGTGATGCAAACAGAACAAAAGTAGCAGCTTCAGAAAACACATGAATAGTATGGCTGTCTCAAAGCTTTAAATTTATTGTACAATACAGATTACGAATACAAATTAGCCAAGTTCTTTGCCACCACAAATAACCTGTTCTTCTTGTATGGCATCTTAAATATTTAAAGTCAATTTAATTTTTTAAAAATTATGTTAATGGAAATCAATTTCTTAACTCTCCACAACCACCTTAAATTATAATTTTTCTTTCCTGACAAGTAACTGATGCACCTTAAATGACAGTCAAGGTAGTGGTTTTAACATTAACGTGCAGTTTCATTGGGACTAGAGTAAGGCACATGCATCAAGGAGCAAGGCTTTATCCTTGCAACCACTCTTTTTCTAATAAAAAACTATAAAGATGTACATGGATTTTTCTATTTTTTTCTAAAATAAGGGTATTTTATAGTAATCCTAATTGGATTTCAACTTTAAAAAGAATAAGTTAAAAAGAATGTAATGAACCCATGCTTCATTTTTCGAATTTTCTTTTATTACTTTCAAAAGAAAAGGAAAAATCTCTCAAACAGACCAAATTCATAGTGAAGATGATCAATAAGAAAATACCAAGAGTTTCTACCCAATAAATTTGGTCAATACGCCAAGAATTTCTAGTTTTGGTTCCTTGCCTGTAACAATGCTATGGATAACAACAATATTTTAACTTTTACACCCCCCCCCCCAAAAAAAAAAGAAAAAAATGTATATAAAACATCCATACATCAGTTCTTGCATAAATCCTTTCATCAGTGATCATGTGCTTCACACTTCAGAGTTCCCTCATGGACAATTAAATATTTGCCTCATAACCATGTTTAAGTGGTAAGCTAAAGATGAAACTAAGCAAACATTCAGAAACCTGATCTTTACCATACACCCATGTGTTGTCAAGCTCAAAGCCCCATAAATATGCTACTGCATGGTTAATTTAGGTTATATAACAGAAGAAATCCCCACTTGAAACAAAATGAAGAAAAGGTAGGTAAATTTTCTCAATAAAAACAATATTTTATTAATAGAGGAAATCGCCAAGAACAACTACAAAGCGGAACCAAAGCTATACAAGAACAAAGTCACGGTACAATGGCCACCCATAACTACGACGTCAGCAGCGTCAACAACAGGCCTCAATTTCCACTGGAACAAGACGCTAAAGCTCGGAAGAGAATGTAAGAGAAGGCTCAATAACGTCATTATGACTATCCCATCTGATTCCAAAATTTTGAACAAAATGCAGACCTTAAAGCATAGACAGACGCTCAAGATGCATATTTTGGACAATGAAACCATTAAACTATTGCGACACAACAAATATGAAGTGCAAACAGATCACTCGGTTAAATCCCCCCTCCCCCCCAATCTAAGTGCAGCTATTAATAAGATCAGCCGGTTGGTCAACAAAGAAACAAACAACAAGAAACTCATAGAATCTCATATAACACAAGAAACTCATATAACACAAGAAATCCCCACTTGAAACAAAATGAAGAAAAGGTAGGTAAATTTTCTCAATAAAAACAATATTTTATTAATAGAGGAAATCGCCAAGAACAACTACAAAGCGGAACCAATGCTATACAAGAACAAAGTCACGGTACAATTAGACCTGTTCATGGGCTGGGTGGCCCAACGGGCTGGCCCAGCCCGGCCCGGCCCCCAGACGGGCTTGAATAGGCTTTTTGGCCCGCGGGCTTAACCTCGAGCCAAAAAGCCCGGCGCATAAAATTCGAGCTGGGCTCGGGCTTTGCCAAAATAGCCCGGCCCGAGTCCGACCCGGCCCGACCTATAGTTAAACCTAAGTAAAAACCCTATGTGATGTCCATTTGAATAAATTTTTTGATTTAAGAAGGTTGTTGATTCACTTGTAGGCCCATTGTTCATTTAAATGGGGGAAAAAACATCTGAATTAAAATAGATAATGTTCATTTGAATCGGGAAAAATTCGAATTTCTTTTATTAGGTCGGGCTTTGGGCTTTTTATCAGGGCCGGGCTCGGGCCCAAGTTGTAGGCCCATTGGTTGGGCCGGGCTCGGGCCTAACATTTTTCTGTTAATAAAGAGTAAAAGCCCGGCTCGAGCCCGACCCGGCCCATGAACAAGTCTAGGTACAATGGCCACCCATAACTACGATGTCAGCAACGTCAACGACAGGCCTCATTTTCCACTGGAACAAGACGCTAAAGCTCGGAAGAGAATGTAAGAGAAGGCCCAATGACGTCATTGTGACTATCCCATCTGATTCCAAAATTTTGAACAAAATACAGACCTTAAAGCATAAACAGACGCTCAAGATGCAAATTTTGGACAATGAAGCCATTAAACTATTGCGACACAACAATATGAAGTGCAAACAGATCACTCAATTAAATCCCCCCACCCATCTAAAAGCAGCTGTTAATAAGATCAGCCGGTTGGTCAACAAAGAAACAAACAACATAAAAAACAACAAGAAACTCATAGAATCTCATATAACACAAGAAATCCCCACTTGAAACAAAATGAAGAAAAGGTAGGTAAATTTTCTCAATAAAAACAATATTTTATTAATAGAGGAAATCACCAAGAACAACTACAAAGTGGAACCAAAGCTATACAAGAACAAAGTCACGGTACAATGGCCACCCATAACTACGATGTCAGCAGCGTCAACGACAGGCCTCATTTTCCACTGGAACAAGACGCTAAAGCTCGGAAGAGAATGTAAGAGAAGGCTCAATAACGTCATTATGACTATCCCATCTGATTCCAAAATTTTGAACAAAATGCAGACCTTAAAGCATAAACAGACGCTCAAGATGCAAATTTTGGACAATGAAGCCATTAAACTATTGCGACACAACAATATGAAGTGGGAACAGATCACTCAGTTAAATCCCCCCCCCAATCCAAGTGCAGCTGTTAATAAGATCAGCCGGTTGGTCAACAAAGAAACAAACAACATAAAAAACAACAAGAAACTCATAGAATCTCATATAACACAAGAAACTCAGATAACACAAGAAATCCCCACTTGAAACAAAATGAAGAAATTAGGTAAATTTTCTCAATAAAAACAATATTTTATTAATAGAGGAAATCGCCAAGAACAACTACAAAGCGGAACTAAAGCTATACAAGAACAAAGTCACGGTACAATGGCCACCCATAACTACGATGTCAGCAGCGTCAACGACAGGCCTCAWTTTCCACTGGAACAAGACGCTAAAGCTCGGAAGAGAATGTAAGAGAAGGCTCAATAACGTCATTATGACTATCCMATCTGATTCCAAAATTTTGAACAAAATGCAGACCTTAAAGCATAAACAGAYGCTCAAGATGCAAATTTTGGACAATGAAGCCATTAAACTATTGCGACACAACAATATGAAGTGCAAACAGATCACTCAGTTAAATCCCCCCCCCCCCAATCCAAGTGCAGCTGTTAATAAGATCAGCCGGTTGGTCAACAAAGAAACAAACAACATAAAAAACAACAAGAAACTCATAGAATCTGGTCTAAAATAGCAAACATTTGATAATATCACCGGATTAGAGAAAAGGACCTCCATACATTTGATATCAATTGGCAGGATCTACATGCACAAGAATTAGTTTAAACGTTACCTTCTACCGAAAAAAGTTTAAACATTAAAAGATCACAACAAAAGATACAGCGGACCTTGTTGAGCACGCAATCCTAAATCCTAAAGCTTATTAACAACGAAAACGACAATCTCCAATCGTTGGAAACCAAGTTTTTAATGCTATTACTGTTAGAGAAGCAGACCTTATTGAGCACGCAATCTCGCAAGGAATTCATGAGTCGGACACATTTTTCTTGATCATAAGGAGACTCAGTGACGCAGTTGAGAAGAGCCAAAGCCTCCTGCGAACAAACGGGCTGAGGTTGATCCATTGCTTCCTACGCTTTTGAGTTTCGACTTTCGAGCAGTTATTCTTGATTTAGGGTTTCGGAGATCAGAAAAACAAAAGGCCTCAAAAGTCCATCTTAAATGAAGCTCCTAATTTAGGGTTTGTTTCTTCCCTTTCGTCAAAGAAGATTTTTCTATGACAAGCTGAACGAAACTGCGGGCAAGGCTTACAGCTCTTCAATAGTTTCTCTCTGCCTTCTGGTTCTGGCTTCTGCCCACAGTTTGTTTTCTTCCATAATCGGTTCGGACAACAAGCCGGAAAAGGACCGGTTCAGTTCTGTGAGCTGTTCTATTCGATGACAAGCCGGTGAGAAGTGAGATGGCCCATGGCCGAGGCCCGTAACCCGGTAACAGTAGGGCCATAACTCTAACTCATAAGTCATAAGTAGGGTTGTACTACTCCCGAGGGATCCGGATCTCTTTTTTGATACTTTACACCCGCATCCGATCCAAGCCCAAGATTTAATTCAAATCCGTTAAATGAATTAAAATTAAAAATATAATTGGACTGTAATCCATATCCAACACAATTGTTAAACGTTCCAAAATTCTTCGAAGTCTGAGACTGATCCGACATCCAATTTGATTATTTCGGATTTGATTTCTTTGAATATGTATCTGTTTTGATAATTGAATCAATCTTATCTTATATCTATATAAATATATTAAGCTGAAATGTGTACATGAGAAGAGGCTTTAAGATAAGAGAAATGGAATTTAACAGTACCTTTTTTTTCTAGAAATTATAAGAATGTTATTCTATCAAGTCTTTCTTTTGCTTTTTTTGTTTCAAATTACAAGAATGCCACTCTCTTTTATTAACTCTCTCTCTCTTACTTTTTCTTTCAAATTACAAGAATACCACTCTCTCCTACCAATTCTCTCTCTCTCTCTCTCTCTCTCTCTCTCTCTCTCTCACACACACACACACACACACTCTCACATAAATTACAAGAATGTCATCTCTCTCTCTCTCTCTCATAAATTACAAGAATGTCATCTCTCTCACCTCAGCTCGACATCTCGGCTGCTAGGGGACCGAGCCGAGCTCGAACTTCTGTGCTTAAGCTCAAGTCTCTAATTCAAATCGAGCTCAAGTTAGACAACACATTGACCATCGAGGGAGACATCGGCTTGGCACCTTGGTCACTGAGGGAGATCTCGGCTCAACACCTCGACAAACTGTGGGAGACCTCAACTTGGCACCTTGTTAACTAAGGGAGACCTTAGCTCGACACCTCGCCTACTAGGTAAACCTTAGCTCGACACTTCAACAGCTAAGGGAGACCTTGATTTGGCACCTTGGCAATTGAGGAGGACCTCGGCTCAAAACCCCGATTGCTTGAGAGACTTGCAATCAAAGGTAGCCGAGCTTGAACTTTTGAGCTTTTGACTCGAGCCGATCTCAAGTCTCTAATTCTAATTGAGCTCAAACCTGATAATTTATGAGCGAGCCCCTAACAGTTAATGAGGGAAATGGAATTTAATAGTATATTTTGCCTTTTTTCTTAGAAATTACAAGAATGCCATTCTCTACCAACTCTATCTTTTTCTTTTTTTTTCTTTCAAATTACAAGAATACCACTCTCACCTACCATCTCTCTCCCTCTCTCTCTCGCTTGTTTTTTTTTTTCTTCCAAATTACAAGAAAGCCACTCTCTCTCCTACCAACTCTCTCTCTCTCTCTCTTTCCTACAAATTGAAAGAGTGCCATCTCTCTCCTTATAAATTACAAGAATGCCACTCTTTCTTCAATTGAGGGAGACCTCAGCTCGGCACCTTGTCAACTAAGGGAGACCTTAGCTCGACACCTCGCCTGCTTAGGAAACCTCAGCTCGATAGTTGAGGGGGACCTCGGTTTGGCACTTCGGCAATTGAGGGAGACGTCAGTTTGGCACCTCAGTTGCTTGAGAGATTTGCAATCAAATGTAGTCGAGCTCGAACTTCCAAGCTTTTGACTCAAGCCAAGTTCGAGCTCGAGCTCAAGTCTCTAATTCAAATCAAAATCGAGCCTGATAGTTTATGAGCGAGCCCCACCATGAGAAGCCAAGAAATGGAATCTAACAGTAAATTTTGCTATTTTCCTTTTAAATTACAAGAATGCCACTCTCTACCAACTCTCTTTCACTCTCTTTTGCTTTTTTTTTTCTTTCAAATTACAAGAATGTCACTCTCTCCCACCAATTCTCTCTCTCTCTCTTACTTTTTTCTTTCAAATTACAAGAATGCCACTCTCTTCTACCAACTCTCTTTCTCTCTTTTTCTTACAAATTACAAGAATGCCATCTCTCTCTCTCTCTCTCCTTATAAATTACAAGAATGCCACTTTCTCTCCAACTGAGGGAGACCTTAGCTCGGCATCTTGGCTGCTAGGGGACCTACAACCAAAGGTAGTAGAGCTCGAACTTTTGAGATCAAGCTAAAGTCTCTAATTCAAATCGTTTGAGCTAGACGACATCTTGACCACTAAGGGAGACCTCGGCTCGGCACCTTAGTCACTAAGGGAGATCTCGGCTCAACACCTCGGCAACTGAGGGAGACCTCAGCTCGACACCTTGTCAACTAAGGGAGGCCTTAGCTCGACACCTCGCCTGCTAGGGAAACCTCAGCTCGACACTTCAACAGTTGAGAGAGACCTTGGTTTGCCACCTCGGCAATTTAGGGAGACCACGGCTCAAAACCTCGACTCAGCACCTCGGCTGCTTGAATGACCTACAATCAAAGGTAGCCGAGTTCGAACTTCTGAGATTTTGACTTGAACTGAGCTCGAGCTCAAGCTCAAGTCTCTAATTCGAATTGAGCTCGAGCTTGATGGTTTATGAGTGAACCCCTACAACGCAGGGCCCCTTCTACTAGTATATCTATTAAAAGTATAGGGGTGTTCTCCCCTTTCGCTAAATGGCAGCTCTTTAATACATACATACATACATACATACATACATACATACATACATACATACATACATACATACATACATACATACATACATACATACATACATACANATACATACATACATACATACATACATACATACATACATACATACATACATACATACATACATACATACATACATACATACATACATACATATGTATATATATATGCCATCAGTTTCGAGTCGACGGTTCGACCGTCCGGTTTGAAAGAATGGTCCATTCTGATAACAAAAATTACAAGCAAAAAATTATAGAACCATTCTAGCCACTAGTTTTCGAGTTAACGGTTTGATCGTCTATTTCGAACGAATGATCTGTTCTGACAACAAAAATTATAGGAAAAAATTGAGTGTGTGAGGTCCATTAAGCAGTATCATACGTGTTATGTCATTCAAGTGTGTGACTCATATGACCCGAAAATTGAACAGTTTTGGCCACTGGTTTTCAAGTCGACGATTAGACCATCTGATTCAAATGGACAGACGGCCCGTTTTGACAACAAAATAAAAAAAATAGCCAAAAACCATTAAATGGGTCAACGGTTCGTCTGCTCGGGTCAAGGGTCGTTGACCAATTCAATGGTTTTTGGCCAGGGACTGGGATTGGGGTAAAACGGAACCGGTTGCCTAGACGGTTCCCAATTAAAAAAAAAGGTAGTTCGATCATCAGGTTCGAATGAATGGCCCATTTTGACAACAAAAATTACAAGCAAAAAATTAAGTGTGTGAGGTCCATTAAGCAGTATCGTACGTGTTATGTCATTCGAGTGTGTGACTCATACGACCCGAAAATGAAACTATTCTGGCCAGCGGTTTTTGGGTCGACGGTTTGACCGTCCGGTTCGAACGAACAACCCATTTTGACAACAAAAATTAAAAAAAAAATAAAAAATGGCAAAAACCATTGAATGGGTCAAAGGGTCAATGGTTCGACTGCTTGGGTCAATGGGTCATTGACCAATTCAACGGTTTTTGGCCAGGGACCGGAATTGGGATAAAATGGAACTAGTTGCCTAGATGGTTCCCAATTAAAAAAACCGTCAAAAACCATTGAATGGGTCAACAGTTCGACCGCCCGGTTCAATGGGTCGTTCGATTCAATGATTTTTAGCCAAGGACCAAAATTGGGGTAAAACAGAACTGGTTGCCTGGATGGTTCCCAGGCCGAAATGTACGTCCGTTTGGGTCAATGGCAGTTCGAAAATCATGGTTATTTGTGCTTTTCGATTTTTACTATTCAAAGGTTTCTTATACTGTTGGCTTTATTTGAGTATGTGCGGTATGTTCCCTTTTTTTCATTTTCTTCTTTTTTTTTTTTGTGTTTGGTCTTCTTCTTCAAGATCCTCCAAAACGGTCTAGGGTTTACCACAATTTTATTTATTCCTTTTTGTTTTTTCTTTGGGTGTTTTTTTAATTTTCTTATAAGATGATCTACCTTTTCTCTTTCTTTGATTGCATGTATGTTTAGCTCCGTCTCAAAGTGGAACTTTGGACTCGATTTTCTGATTTTTTTCCTTGGTTTTTCCAGTTTGGTGCATTTACTACCAATTTTTTTTTTGTGTGTGTGTTTAAGGTCACTTTAGATTTATCTTTCAAGGTTCTGGAATTCCTTGCAATGTCCACCCTTCCCATGACTATGACTACAAAGTTATTTTGTTTAATTATTGGCATCTAGAAAAAATGACCTGGAAATGGAACTGTTCTGGCCACCGGTTTCCAGGTCGATGATTTGGCCGTCCGGTTTGAATGGATGGCCCGTTTTGATAACAAAAGTAAAAAAATAAAAAATGGCCAAAAACTGTTGTAACGGGTTGACCACCTAGGTCAACGGGTCATTGACTAATTCAATGATTTTTGGCCAGGGGTCGGGTTTGGGGTAAAACAGAACCGGTTGCCTGGACGGTTCTCGGGCCGAACGGTCCTATTGTTCGTGTCAACTAGGAGTTCTCGATGTAAAACAAAGGACAACTATGAAGTAGAACTTAGAATTGTCACTATATGACCGTATTCTTTTATATGAGATACTTTGCTGAAATAATATTTAAAAAATGAGCACATGATTATCTCTTTTAAGTCTTTATATAAGTTTCAAGACTTGGGTACTTATAATTTCAAGTTTCTTATTAAAAAACCATTGTCTTTTTTGATGTAGCAAATAGCAATATTGCAATTCCAACCCCTCTGAAACAGGGCCCTCCCCTAGTATATAGATTTAACCCCATCTCAGTCTAATAAAATTCTGTTTTACATATGTAATATTCTTTTTTTTTTTGGTTATGGACCTTATGGTGTTTATGTTGCGATTTAAATGGTAATTACTAATTAGATTTACGTATGGCTATCAATTGGACCGGATTTGGTTCAATCTGATCCTGTCCAATATAAATTCATTACAAATGGACAAGATCCAATTCAATCCGATGAATTTGGATTATGTTGGACTGCTTTAGTTCAACATCTAGACTGTCCAATCTTATCAAATTGTTTTTAATTTGGATTTGTTCCAATCGAAATCTGATCCATTGATGCATGTATTCTTATCTTTTATCAATGGATCAGATGTTGTGCAATCTGACCCAATTCAATATAAATTCATTACAGATGAACCAGGTCCAATCCAATCCAATAAATACTTTGGACCATTAAGTATAGATTGATCCAATTCAATATGTCTTGTTAGTCCTTCTAATTTGTCCAAATTGATTTTGATTTAGATGAGGCCAACTCCAAACTGATTGATTAACAACCTTACTCATGGTCAATTATCAGCTCATAGCCTAGTGAGATTAGCTTTTGCCAAAGTTTGAATAAATCCGGCCTAAAGCCTGAATTCAAAACAATGTTAAGCCAAGCCCAAAGCTTAAGCTTGTTCCCTGAACAAATCTAATGGCAATGACCCCCGAATATTTTTGTTAAAGCTATCATTTATATAGCTAATAAGTGGAGATTGGGTAAAAAATGTAGTAATGTGGGTCTTCCCCCCACCAGATAGTTTGAATATGGATATGGATACATATACATTTTGGAAATGCATAAATACAAACAAAAGATATAGAAACACATGGATACACTAAAAAATGCATAAAAACTTTGTAAATACATCAATTGCACTAACTTTAAAGTCAAAATAACCACAAATAAAGTATAAATATATAAAAATGTATATTTTAATGATAAATATATGAAGAAATATATTAAGATTAATATAACAAAATACATAAATATCATACAATTTTGTTGATAATCCATCAATCAAGAGTCCAAGACACAAAACATATGCAATTATTATATTTTAATTACTATATCAATTATTTTCTATTTTACTATTTTTACTTTTCAACATTAACAAAAGAGTCAATTAAATATTTAATTTTGAAATGTTTGATATGCAATATATATTATTATAAAATGTAAATTAAAATACTAGTAGATAATCTATAAAAATATATAATCTTAATTGAAAATATATCAAAATTATTAAAACCTCTAAGGTACATATCATAAGCAAATTCATAATTTTTTATTACTAAAATAATGATTCCATTATTAAAATTCTTATTTCTATATTTTTTTTTGAAATAAGAAATCATTTTTGATATAAATGTAAATTAGTGAATTTGATAAATTCAATTTAATATTATATTCTCGAATATTTTTGTAAACAATTTTTTTTTTATTTTTGTAAATAATAAATATGTTATTTATTAGTGTAGGTTAACATATCAATGAATAATTTATAAAAATATATTAACACTTTAAAATACATATCAGGTACAAATTTAAGAAATTTAAGTACTAAAATAATTATTCAATGATTAATATTTTTATTTGTATAAATTTATTTAGAGTAAAAAACAATTATTGATATAATTTTGATAGATTGTTTATTATATTAATGTTTATAAAATACTATTTTTTAATATTAATTTTTTAATTTTAAGTTGAAATTCTTAAAGATTAACATATAGTATGTGTTTAGATTGCATGCTAATAATGAAGTTAATAAAATTTATTTTATTTCACATGATATCACAAGTTACATGGTGGCATAGCAGTTCAAGAGATGCGCACAAATATCAGTGTGTATAGGCATGTATCGGCCGATATAGTGTGATACTGAGCGACACTAATATATATCATGTCAATATGCATAAGACATGTATTGTACCAGTTGTAGTGTATCACATATTGGTTCCTTTCAATACCGATATGATACGCCCCATATTAGACATACCATATCGATATTTTAATCCTTGGGGTTGAGATTCGATTGGCTTACTTATTTACCTCATTTTGCTAAAATATTTATTATTTCTTAAGACTGGTATGCCGGTGAGGACACGTTCAACCATATGGTCCCTTTTGTTTTTGAAAGCAAAAACAATGCTACATTAAAAAAGACACAAGTTTGCTAATGTTATAGTTGATTTTGTTTTCAAAAACACAATCAACCATGTTATCAAACATTCCCTAAAATTTGCCTTAAAACTTAGGGTAAATTGCTGAAATCTCTCTTGAAGTTTTTTGTTGTTGTTGAAACCTTTCTTGAAGTTTGATAGTTGCAATCACCTCCCCTGAACCTTGTAACATAATTGCAAGTAGGTCCCCTTTGTTAAAATCTTCTAAAAAGATGTATGAAAATGTCTAAAATACCCATGCGGTGACTTTTCACCAAAATGTTTATTTTTCAAATTTTCTCTTCATATGAATCACTAGCCCAAACCCTTCTAATCCCTTTTCTAAAATTGATTTATTTTCAAATTTTCCCTTCATATCAATCACTCAAAGGTAGAGATGCAACTTTAAATTCCATTTTTCTTCTAGTTGTTATTGTTTTCTTTTTGTAGAAACCACACTCAATAATAATTGCATGGGTATTTCAAACATTCCTATGCCTCTTGCTAATTGATTCTAACAAAGTGGGGGTCTACTTGCAACTGTGTCAAAAAGTTTAAGGAAGGTGATTGCAATTACCAAATTTATGGGGCGATTTTATCAACAGTCAAAAACTTTAGGGGAGGCTTCAACAATTTACCCTAAAACCTAAAATTATTAATACATATATAAACACATGTATTCATGATTGCATAATTGCTTATATTCATGCATTTTTGGAAAATACTTGTCTTAAATGCAATAGGATCCCTTGGAAGCAAAAACTCTACATACACTAGGAAAGACATGATATAGAAAAACTTATGTTCAATCAACTGGTACAATAAAAGAGGTGACCAATCCATTGGTATTGATCATAATTCACGGGGGGCTCTGATTGGTCAAAGCTCTTTCTGAATCTTTTCTTCTGATATCATAGATTTAATGTACATTTTAACTTCAATTCTTAGCATGTTTGAGAGAGAGGTTTTGCTTGTGACCCTATCAACCAACAATTTGGATGGTGACTGGAGATGGTTGAAAAATAGGAAAAAATATTCTCTTAATCCTAAAAAATGAGATCTATTTCACTCCATCTTGGCTCTTTTTCAAGATGAATGTTCAAACCACCTCATTTAACATTAAAAAATTTTCAACAAAACAAAAGGCGTGGCTGAGTCATCCACCCTGAATTTTTTACTCAAAAATAGACAACAAAAAAGGTTGCCACAGATTTAACTAAAATCTCAACTAATAACTACTCTTTCACCAGTTCAAAATGCAAAAAGTTTCTCCTTTCTCCGATAAGATAGCAAATCCACAAGAAGTAACCAAAATTTGGCAATAAGGCAATTAAGATGTTGATGTTAATCATGGTTTACATAATGTGGGGTGGCAGCACTACTCTCTCTCTATATATAGATTGAAGAGTATCAAGGCAATTGTCCCCTTCTTCTACTATGTGATAAAGGAAACCCCATCTTAATTTGCTCTCCTTTGACAATGAGGACCCACCCCTAGAGCAGGGAAAAGAATATTAAATAGAAAAAATGGCAAAAACCCAAATTTACTTGTTTCTTTTCGCAGTAATGGGGTGTATCCTAATGAGCCCATCATCAAGTACATTTATTCACGTTGTTGGAGGAAGCTTTGGATGGGGAATTCCAGACAACACAACTTTTTATCAAGATTGGGCCAAACCAAGAACCTTCGGCGTTGGCGACAAACTGGGTAAGTTTTTTCACAACTCTCTCTCTTCATCATTCTTCTTCGTCATCTACTATACTCTGTTTTTTGGTTGCACTTACAATGAAGAAAAAATTAGCAATTTTCATAGAAAATGAGATTCAATGGCAAAGCAAACCTGAACAGTCCAGTTGAGAAATATAGACATGATTTAGACATACAATTAACCCTTGTATTGAAGGTAGAGTTGCAGTTTTCTTGTACAGGACAGGTGTGCACGATGTGTTAGAGGTGAGTCAAAAAGATTTTAAAGCCTGCACTCAAAACAATGTGACTGCAATGCATTTCGCCGGACCAACGATCTTGGAACTCACTGAACCAGGGGATCACTATTACTACTGTGGTGTTGGGGCTCACTGTGAGGCTGGCCAAAAGCTCAAAATCACCGTTTGCAATAAACTGGGATCGTCTGGGCACCATTCCCACAATTAATTAGTTTGTTTTCCATACTCTTTTTTCATTGTATTGTATCCCGGTTTGTATACAACTAAATGGAGCCTTGGTCGATTTAGCGGAGCCTTCTTGTTAATCACATTCTTGACTCGATCTTTGATTAAATTCATCAATATATAGCTTCTTGAAAATCCTGGCATTTTGTTGCTTTCATTTGAACTCTCGACCTAACTAGCCATCATGACATTACTTAAAACTATTTTAACCTCAAAACAAGGATTAAGGTACTGGTATTAGACAGTTTAGATACAGACATGTATATGGATACTCTTTGGAAATGCATGGATATGGACGAAAGATATGAAAATACATGAATACACTAGGAAAATAATACAAATTTCATAAATACATCAATTACACAAACTTTCAAAGTCAAAATAGCCACAAATCAAATATAAATTCATAAAAATGTATATTTTAATGATAAAGAAATATATTTTAATATATCAAGATACATAAATATCATACAATTTTGTTGATAATCTATCAATCAAGAGTTCAACACTCATATTATATAGTTTTTACAAAATAAAACATGGACAAAACCATTGTTATGTTAAATTCTGTAAATCTAAAACACAAAACATATGCAATTATTATATTTTAATTACTATAGCAATTATTTTCTATTTTTACTTTTCAACATTGACAAAAAATTCAATTAAATATTAAATTTTAAAATACTTGATAATATCAAAATTATTATCATATGAAATTCATAATTTTTCTACATATATTATTATCATCACATTTTTACTTTAATCTTAACTGAAAATATATCAAAATTATTAAAATTTCTAAGATACATATCATATGAAATTGATAGTTTTTAATTACTAAAGTAACAATTCCATTATTACCATTTTTATTTCTATAATATTTCTGAAATAACATATCAGTTTTTATATAAATTTAAATTAATGAATTTGATAAATTCAATTTAATATTATATTCTTGAATATTTTGTAAACGTTTTTTTATAAATACTAAAAACTGTTACTTTTTAGTTTAAATTAAAATATCAACGAATAATTTATAAAAAATATATTAAAATTTTGATATACATATAATGTACAAATTTATGATTTTTAAGTACTAAAATAATTATTCTATTATTAATATTTTTATTTGTATAAATTTATTGAGAATAAAAAACAATTTTTGATATAAATGTAAATTTGATAGATTGTTTATTCTATTAATGTTTATAAAATACTATTTTTTAATGTTATTTTTTATTTTAACTTTTTCTTTTCGAACATAAATATATATTATTTATTTAGGTTGCTTGTTAATAATAAAGTTAATAACAATCATTTTATTTTATTTGATATTACAAGTTGCATGATAGCGTTGTGGCTTAAGACGTTAGTCACATAGTGGTGCAAGGATTAGGACTTAAGTTCGAATCTTAGCAAACATGTTTTTTAAATAAGAGAGGCATGCATATCTCTTATTAGGACTTTGTACCCCATTCAAGGGTATAGATGTTAGTCTTGGATAAATCTAAATTTAGGATTCCTAGATTACTGAACCAAAACCATATTCAACTCAGGCCATGTTTGGGAGTGTTTATTCAAAATAAGTGCTTATTTGGGCCATTAAGCACTTATTAGTATTTGGGAAATAACCCCAAAATAAGTGCTTATTTTAAAAATAAGGACTTATTTTTTAAGCCCAAATTTTCAGCTTTTTTTAAGTGCTTATACAATAAGCACTTATTCAAATTTTTTTCTTCCAAAATTATCCCTAGTTGAATTTTAAAATACCACTTATAAAATTATCCCTAATTGAATTTTATAAAAGTACTTTTATGAAAACACTTTTATAAAAGTACTTTTATGAAAGCACTTTTACAAAAGTACTTTTATAAAAGCATTTTACAAAAACACTTTTATAAAATTACTTTTACGAAAGCACTTTTGTGAAATCACTCTTATGAAAGCACTTTATAAAAGTACTTTTACGAAAGCACTTTTAAGAAAGTACTTTTATGAAAGCACTTTTATAAAAACACTTATGAAAGTACTTTTATGAAAGCACTTTTGCTTTCATAAAAGTACTTTCACAAAAGTACTTTTGTAAGGGTACTTTCTTAAAAGTACTTTTATAAAAGTATTTTCATAAAGGTGCTTTCACAAAAATGTTTTTATAAAAGTAATTTAACAAAAGTGCTTTCAAAGGGTATATTGTGAAAATTTGAAAAAAATGAAGGACAAAATAGTCACAAATGCTTGTTTAAGTGCTTATTAGAGAAAAGGACTATCAAACGCCCAATATAATATAAGTGATTATTTTAAAAAATAAGCACTTGAAAAAATTAGGTGCCAAATGCATATAAGTGCTTATTCGAATAAACACTTGTTTTTAAACACTTATTCAATAAGCACTTATTTTTAACTTAATCACTCCCTAACATGGCCTCAATTTAAAACAGGGTTACAATCCTTGCATTCAAAACTAATACACTTGTTTACGTTTTTTACATGTCATAAAAGTTAAATTCAAATATTGTATATATAGAGCTTCCCAAATACTAATATCAACTCCTAAGCTTTAAGATATAAAAGAAATCTCTATAATACAAATTTGTATTGATCAATCCAACAGGCTACGACTGTACCAAACACCCACCCAAAGGCGATGATTCATCAGCTTGAGTCTCGCGCTAAAAGCCTAAAAGCATGTAAAAGAAAGACTGAAAAGATAGCTCGCGCAACCAAGTTGCTGTAGAAGTAGGTGGTGCCCCAAAGTTTGCTCCAAATCCTTTTCGTCATTTCTTCTTTCCAATTCTAGAAGAAGAGGGGAGCTTAAGAAATTGCCAGATACTGCTCTTCATTTTTTTTTCTCGCTTCCTCATGAAATGGAAAATGAAGACCGATCTAGGAGATCGAAGCTGTTCTATGGAAGATTTAGGACCTGCACGGAAAGCTCAACGATGCCATTCACATGATATCCATATCCTATTTTGTCATTTCCATCAAAACCCTAAAGAAATCCGATGAAGCTTCGTAATGATGGGGAGAGACGATTGGAATGGGTTCGTATCCCTGAAATATTTCCAAATCGACGAGGTAGCAATTGCAAAAATGAAGGGCTTTAACATGGTTAAAACTGCACTCGAGAACGTAGAGAACCAGCTTGGGTTCTTCAATATAAGTTTCTAGAATTTCTGCTTCTTATAGCCAATCTGAAAGTGAGGAAACAATGGACTAATATTAGACCTGGCAAAAAGTTGACCCAACCCGTGAACCCAATCCGACCCAACCCGAAAAAACTGGGTTGGATTTGGTCATGGATCAATTCGTTGACCCGATTGTCAAGTCTAATTGGAATTATTTATGTATTGTTAGAAGTTTCCACTCTTTAATTTTTTCTATTTAGTCTTTACTTTTTATTGTTTACTCTTTAAATTGTTAAATGTTCAAGTTTTTATTTTATATTTAGAATTTCAAGGTTAATTCTTTTAATTTTGATATTTTATGTAATTTTTCTTTATTTTTTATATTTCAATTATTTTTTGGGATGACCCGAATTGACCCATGGGTCAACCCTAACCCGAATATTTAGGGTTAGGGTCTAGCACTTGACAACCCAACCCAAAATCAACCTGAAATTCCTTGACCCAACCCGAACCCGATTGCTAGGTCAAACTAATGCATTCCTTTGTTGGTGAAGTATTAGAATTTTAAGGAAAAGAGTTGGCAAACTTTGAGAATAGTTGGCTTCCTACTATATCTAATTTGAGAGAAAGTAGAGTTCATTACTAACATCTAACCTAATACAATTGACCAAGTAAAGGCACTGAGATAGCTTTTTCTACAAACCTACTTACAAGTCTGAAATTCAAATAGTAGATATCTTCCCATGGAATAAGTTTGCATATACCCTCTACCGGACATAACCTTACATACTTTTAAGGTGGCAGCCGAAGCTACAGGAATACCAACGATGGTGCTTTATTATCAGGTTCTTTGAGCTAATTGAACTTGATTGTCCATTTCCCGGTGAGTCTATAACATGATAAATGGTCAGTGGTGAAGATAGAGAAGACTGTATTTCTGTAGAACTCGCATGAATCTCATTGTGGGTCACACCCTTGGACTTCTTTTCGGCCAAAACTCAATAGATGGACAAGATCAAGACTCTTTTTCTCTGATAAGAGGGAGAGTGCTTTCTTTTCAGAAGCTCTTTTGTTCCTTCCCTTACAAAGAGGTGAAGATCCCACAGGATAGCAAAATCATGCTTCAAAAAACATTCCCCTAAATTCCTACTCATGATATCTTATTAGGAATTAGATGAATGTATCCCTCCAAACTTAGATATGTTGAAAATAATTACACATTTTGGGTGGAAGAAAGTTAGAGTGGAAAAAGTAATTTATTCTCAACTCCACGGACATATGCATGCATAAAGAGAAATTTTTGTAGCTGCATATATTTTCTTTTTAAAGCATCAAGTGCATTTGCCTTCTTTGGCAGTCAACTGTGTAGGACAAGATACAAAATGTTGAAATGAAAATATGATGCACTGGGACAAAGCAAAATCAGATCCCAAATAGAACCATATAGGATAAAATAACTTAGAATTCAGTACTTAGGTGGCATTTGATAAATCTAAAATTTCAGATTTGAAAAGTTAAAAAGATATTTTGTCTGAAATCTAAAAAGAAGCATATGTGTTTTTCATACTTTTTAGAGGCTCTGAATCTATAAGTTCGTTTGTGTCGGATCAATCCTTTATCATATGAAATTCACTGATTTTACTATTTTACCCTTAAAACATACTATTTGGAAATGTTGAGTTTAATTTGCATTATCTCATAAAAAATAATTTTCAACTTCAAAATAATATTGAAACAATACAAATAAAAAATAATAAATTAAACTATTAAAATTAAAAAAAAATAATTAATGACTATAAAAACATTAAAATAATTAATAATTTACACAAGTAAAAATTAAAATAATTTTTAAAAATTAAAATAATTTTTAAAAATTAATGAAATAATTAAAAATTACTAGTTAATAAAAATAATTCATAATTAATAAATAACACAAGTAAAATTAATAAACATAATTAATGTTTAGTAAAAATATTAAAATGATTAATAATTAGTAAAAATAGTCTATTATTATTATTACTCACCGAACTATTGCCGTTGCAAGTTGCAGCAACGATGGCGGTGGCAGGAAGATAGGAGAGAAAGAGAGCCGCTGCTGAGAGTTGTAGCGACGGTGGTATGAAGAGAAGAGAGAGAGAGAGATGTTGAATGGGGTAGGGGTATTTTTGACTTTAGGCCACGTCTGAAACATGTCTGAGTGCATTAAGTGATGGGCCTGAGTCTTAAAATTTCAGATATGAAAAAACATTTCAGATCACATTTCTAATGCAACATCAAATAAAGGTGGTGTTTGAAAAGCAACATTTTCATATTCAGTGGTCTGAAAAGTGCTATCAAACGCCACTTTAGGCTTCTTTAAGAGTCAATACCTACATAGTTTATTAGGAATTTGCACCTAATACCATAAAGGACTCAATGTTAGAGAATAAAAACCTATTCAAGGACCTCACCTAACAGCTTAAATTTGTAGGTTGAACAGTTCCTTGAGATGGTATTAGAGCATGTTTGACCAAGTGGTCTAGTGTTTGATCCTTGTCTTGTCCATTTATGGTTAATTAAATTCAAGCACAAGGTATGGGTGGGCCTTTGCTTGTCCACACTTCAAGCCCGATGGGCTTTTGCATGAGGGGGCATGTTAGAGAATAAAAACCTATTCAAAGACCTCACCTAACAGCTTAAGTTTTTAGGTTGAATGGTTCTTTGAGATTATAATTTCAAAATTGTTTGGAGTCTGCATAAAAAAGAAGAAGCAAAACCAATGTAAAATGTATTTTATTCACTAATTCTCTAACGAAAGTTTTTGCCTTATTTATAGACTCATAATGTAGAATATTTACTTAGGGGAAATTCCCGATTAATACCTTGTACTTTGGGCCTAGTGCCACTTTGGTCCCCAAACTTTAAAACACGGCAATCCAATATCTACCGTTAATCAGCCATTAAATGTTATTTGAGAAGACACAAATGCCCTTCGAGTGTCATCTAATTTTCTTTATTAACCATCCAATAGTTGACAAAAAATGAACAGTCCCAGATCCTTTTCTCTTCTATTCAAGAAAGTTGGGGTCACGTCTTAGTGGGCATTTTGGTGACCCCAACTTTCTTGAATAGAAGAGGCAAGGATTTGGGACTGTTCATTTTTTGTCAAAGCTTAGATGGTTGATAAAGAAAATTAATGATACTCGAAGGACATTTGTGTCTTTTAAAATAACACCTAACGACAGGTAGATTGACATGTTTTGAAAGTTTGGGTACTAAATTGTCGCATTTTAAAGTTCAAGAACCAAAGTGGCAGTAGGCCCAAAGTACAGGGTATCCCATTTACTTATTACAACTTAGAAGAGAGTATTGACTTATAAAATTAAAAGAGAAAAAATGTTTTTAAGATCTTACAAAGACTTCTTAAGATATGTAATTGTTTCTTAAGGTTTCCTAACTTTGACAATAAAGAGAGTTTTCACCAATATGAATGATTTTGTTTTGTTAAAAAAAAACTTTGGATGTGGATTGTGGAATTTATTTTCATTTTACAAGACAAAATCATTCATATGAGAAAACATCCCTAAAAACTATGTAGATGATGACGAAAAACAACATAAACAGATCCATAGAATGTCTTTTTGAGGACTGCTTTTTATATACAAGAAGCCTGTGGGGCCCTATCACTGGTCTTGATGGCTTGTCAGGTGGCCAAAGCCCAAAGCATTAAGCTTGTTTTAGATGGGTCTGTTGAAACCTGATAGCTGGAACATTTAAACCTCCTAAGATCTCCAAATATTATATATATTTATGGTACAACCCCTTGCTGACCCAAATAGTTGGGATTGAGGGTGAGTTGAGTATTTATGTTGACTGTACAACCACAGTAGTAGGCAGAAAAAGATGTTGCAATTTCATGGTTGGAACTTGGAATAAGGCTGCATTGTTGTTGCAATGAGACTGGCTGGTTACCATGGCAAGAAGTATAAAGTCGTTGAAGAAGTTCTTGCATTTGTTAACATTGTAGAAGTTCATGACGTGGATCACTTTGTTTCCCCAGAAAATCTGTTTGAGTAACCAAGGGAGCCAATCTGGTGAGGATTTAGAGGGCTCTGAAGGGAAGAAATCAAATATTCTGATCCAAGCTCTGATAACTAGTTTTACCTTTGCAAAGAAGTTTCTCAAATTGAAGCGCATAAGTGGAGTTAGGGAATGCTTCTTTGGTTGCAGTTGTCATGCTTACTTTCAGGTTGCCTTTGGGATCACTTTTATTGCAGTAGTCCCACACCTGCAGGGGGATTCCTTTTGTTGGAAGAGGAAATATAGTAATATTTCACTGTTAATTAGAAGGAAATTCTCCCAATGGTGGTCATGTGAAGCATTTGGATGTGTTGTTGGCCAGGGGCATAGGTGATCGATCATATTTGACAAAGCTGTATGCAAATCCGTGCTGTGTAGTTTTGATATGTCATGGGACAAATCCTCAAATTTCTATGTAATTTCTCTACCACAAATTAACAAGATATTGGCATAGGGTTTACACTTACATGATATATATGCAGTTCTTTTGTTTTGTTTTGCCCCTCTCTGATTACGTTTTTTGGATGTTTTCTGTCATAATTCCCCAGGTTTTCACATTCATTTGGTTGTACAGGATGGATGAATTGCCTCTGTAAATATCCACCATGGTTTGAAACTTTCATGCTTATATTGCTTACCAAAAAAAATATCATGCTCAGAACATGCTATGTTGCAAGAGGAAAAGTAGCTTTGACCATAGCCTAAGTGATAAGCATGAAAAGATGCACAATCTGTTCTCATTAGATAGTTAAGAGTAAAAACCACAGAACCTTGTAACTTGTATTCTAATAAACTAGAAATCTTAGGACGCATTTTTCTCGCCAAAACTGTGAAAAGAAATATAAGAAAAAACAGGCCCAAATTTTACATACAAATTGCCTTTAACACCGATACAGTCTAAATGCAACCACCCAACATCCATGAATATCTTAAGGTCAATACAGGCAGTGGCCAACAGGGAAGTATCTCAAATCCTTCTCAGTTTCTTTGAAAGATTGCATCGAACATATACTTCGAGAATTTCTTCAAACCAAGACTAATATGATATGTCACTTTCAAAAACCATCTCGACCAAAGTGCTGATACTAAATGTGGTTGAGAAAGGAATAAGCCAGCTCCACCTGTAAAGAATTTAACTGTTTATGATCAAACTGAGCTGATAAACTTCAACCCCTCCCGTGGAAAACATCCAGGGGCCTGTTGGAGATTTCTTGGTAGGAAACCCATTTCTTCATTTCTGCAGAATCCGCAATGAAATAGTCCCTCTTCTTCCAAGAACAACTGACCTGTTGCCTGGTTTGATGTAAACGGGTTATCCAGAGGATGGTAGTTGTGAGAAAAAGGAATCTTACTCCAAATCTGGCAGCCTTCTTCCACTTCCATGGGTTTAATAAAATATGAACCCAAGAGATAAAGTAACTGGCAATCCCTGATCTTGTTTCGCATCTTTCAACGGTAGGTTTGCCTTTTCTAGTAGAGGAGGTAATCGTATTCCAATGGAAGGTGCTGTTTTCATCTCCAAAAAGTGCAAGCATTTCTTGGATTACATCCAGTGGTTTTCCCGGGTGCTCTGTTGCTCTTTTGATGAGGGACAGTCTGCTTTCTTCCAATCTTGTAAAAGCAACACGTCGATCTTCTTTCTGTCGTGATTGCAATCTCTGTTGTATAGTACCCAGTAATTAGTTGACAATGTTATGAAACCAAAAGCATAATTCAAGCTTCTTATATGGTCAATCATGATCCAACAACCATGTGTTTGTCTATCACCATTTTATCCTATAGCTTATGAATTCAAGCCCTTAGTTTTCACATTTATTATGCTTTTTCTGTAGCTGTAGAGTGTTAGAATTTCTAGTCAGAAACCCATTTCTCCAAGTTTTTTTTTTCTTTTTCTTTTTCTTTTTCACGAGTCTCTGAATCTCTATTTTTTCAACTTGTCGATTCAGACGCCTAGCCAAAAAAAGGGGTTGAATCAGACTATCTAAGACAGCCTCAGATTCCGATTCTCGTGCCTGGATTCTATTATTTCTATAGAATCCCACAAATTTTTGGACCGACTCCGGAGGCAACAAGAGCAGGACACAAACAGAAACATGGAAAGACCCCCTAAGAGACCAATTTCAGAGACTCGGTATCTCTGTTATGCACCAAGTGAGACAAAGTACAAAGAACTCCTCTGTCTGGATTTCATACCCTTCCACTCAAACGAAAAACAATGATCAAATTCAAAACAAGAAACAAACATTTGCATTGGAAAAATAACAATTTGCCGGAAATTGGCGAAAGAAACGAGAAAGTTGATTCATAGGAAGAATCCCAACATAAGATGAATCGGATAGAGCGTCTGAAAGAAGACAATAGAGCCAAACATCAAGGTTGACAAAGGCGAAAAAGCAATACTGAAGAGGAACAGGAGGGTATGTTACCTGTAAGAACATGAGCATGTTCTCGACCACCTTCAGTGCATCTCTGGTGGCAATCAATTTCTGCTTCACAACCACTGGGGCTTCTGCAACTGCAAGACCACCATAGTAACCATGTTGTGAACAGAAACCTCGCAGACTGGTACAACTGTTCTCGATTTCATCGGTGATTCTATCATGTAAAGTCCACGCTCTCTCAATGAGAGTCTGCAGATTTTCATGTAATTCCATCATGGATGGAAGGAAGGAAGGAAGCAATAAACACAAGCACTAATCAAAGCCCATCTTAAAATAAGTGTACCATAATTTTGAAATACTGTTAATTTTCCCCTTTTCTGGTATGGTGAATGGTGATGCCTTTTCAGCTTTACTTTTATTATTATTATTTATTAGTTTATTACCACTGGTTGTGAGTTTTTTGTTTTTTCAGTTGTAAGATATTTGAAGCCATTGGATTGGAATGCATTACCGGTCTCTCTCAGCCTTCACGCTTTTGTGAGCTGTATATTGCTTTGCTCTTTGCTCCCCCTCATTTTTTTGTGGGTTTGTTTTAATGAGAAGTTTTGTTGGATACTGCAAAGTAGTTCTTCAGTTCTCTCTCTCTCTCCTGCTGCATAGTACACGTGGCATGTAACAATTGGTTCACATTGGTGCCATGTGGACGCAATGAGAACGCATCAGAGATTCAGAAACATAAAAAAAACTTTTTCTATTTTATTCAATAAAAGAAAAATATGGAATATGAGATGTTCTCCATGTGTAGCTGCAATGTAATGTGGTTAGACGTGGGCAGAGTTTCCGTGGGCAGGAGATCCAGAGTCCAATAGATATGGACACTAGTTAGTAATTACTCTTTGTGTTCAACCTCTGCTCCACGAGTTCAGATCTGCACCCCACGAAATAGATATGGGCACTAGTTAGTAATTACTCTTTGTGTTCAACATCATCGAGTCTCATACACGGTGGGATGCCCTGTGGGGCATTATGAGGCGCAGATGTGAACTCCTGCCCCACTACCTGTGATTTGCGAAATAGCTTTTTAGACATCTGGTCGTCTTTCTATTGATTGTCGAGGAACCCAAAATGTTAAAATATGTTTTTTTCTTTTATTTTAGATTTTATGATCACTTTATTTAATTAATAATTGTTCTTTTGGGATTTTGAAAATCATGATCCTACATTCCTACGAAGCCATAGGTAAGTCATAAAGAGAGAATATAAATAAAAAAAAATCTTTTATTTTTGTTATCAAGTGATAAAATGATTAAGAAACACAGAATGGGATAGGTATGATACAGTGTATTATGGTGATTTTCATCCTTTTTAATGTGTCATTGATCGTGGATCAGGCCAAGTTGGGCTTAGCACTTGTGAGTAGGGTGTCAATGGACAAGTTTTGGATTGGACCAGTCCAGACTTAATGGTCTAAAGTATTATTGGATTGGATTGGAGCAGGTTCGTCTATAATAAATTTATGTTGGATTGGATTGGATTGAACCAATATCTGGTTCATTGATAGAAGATAAGAATATAGGTTGCGTTTGGTTACAATGCAAATACAAATATGTACATTACATATTTACTCATTTTTCGATTCATTAATGCAAACACAGTTCACATTTGAAATCGTTTTTGCATTCATTTTGTTTGCTCGAAGTCGGTGCAAAAGTGTGGGCCCATCATTAAATGCTCCAATTATCTTTATACTCCAATGCATTAATTTTGTTCAAAAAGTTAATTATCAAAAGAACACAAAATTGTATAAAAAAATAGGTACAGTAATTCTCTCTTCTCAGAGTACAAAAGTGTCAGAAAATATATTTTTGCTCTACTAATCATTACTTTTTTATGTTTCAAACAAACACTCGCAAATGTGAACCTGAGTACATAAATACCCCGATTCGACGTCACGTCGCAAACAAACGGAACCATAGGTGTAAATGGACCAAGTTTAGATTAAAACTAATCTAAATTAAAATAAATTTGAATAGATTAGATGGTCCAGACATTGAATTGGATCGATCAAAAATTGTCCAAGATATTCATTGGATTGGATTGGACCCTGTCCATTTGTAATGGACTCACAGGACTGGATTGGATAGGATCAAATCCAGTCCAGTTGACACCCCTGGTTGGACTTCCAGGTTTATAAATTTAAATAATGGGGGAAGGTCTAATGCTGGAAAGGTATGATTACTGGAAGAGCTTTGACCACTCAACCTATGAATTTTGATGAATAGCAGCTGATTGATCATCACTTTTCTGATACTGATTATTATACTTTTCAGGCTTCATAGATTTTATTTTTATCCAGGCTGGGCTTGAAGTATTTTGGGCCCAGATAAATTACTTATACCACCCGTAGGTTTACCTACTATACTCCCTCCCCTTAGGGGTTTGTTAATTGAACACACACACAAGTAGGGTTTTGTTAACGAAAAAAAACTAAATAAAAATAAGTATTTTATCAAAGTGTTTCCAGCGATAAAAGTATTAAAATTTACTTTCAAAATATAGATTTTAAAATTGACAAAAATACCCTCGTTTTTAAACATTAAATACAGTTTTATCAACTCACTTTTATTTTATTTTTTTCCTACATTTGTTTTCAACTTCCTATTCTTTCCTCAACTGGGAAAAAAATTAGGTCTTTTAGAGGAATTTTCACAATGACACTTATCATTACAAAGTGAAACACATAACTCACTCAAACCCAAACTAAAGTGGGGTGGTAAGTGAATAAATAAACCCGTGGGGAGGTATATAAATAATTTTCTTCATTTATTTCCAGCAAAAGGAACAAAATGTAAACTGTTGAATCACATGATGAGTGAGGTTTGTTAGTGTTAGGACTGCGGGGAACGCAAAAGCCTGCCAGCAGAGTTAAACCAGGTTGGGATTCAGTAGACAATCACAAATGGAGACGATAAGTAAGCTTGGGTGGGCTAGCTCTTATGACAAGGATCATTGGAAAAGCTCAAACCAAACAATCTGTACAATTGGCGGGGCCAGAGAATTCAGGCTCGGGCCTGATCGAAATTGTAAGTCCATTTGCCTACATTGCAGATTTGCAATGGAGAGGCTTGTTGTCTATCCTCAAAAGGGTTGACACTTGACACAAATGCAAGCGCAAGGCAAGGATAGGTTTTTAATGCTTGGAGTTGGAGACCTTCAATTTTTATGTCCATGGGCTAGATGTAAGTTTTAGTTGTGGGTTTGGGCCTCTCTTGTTAAAGTTGGAACAAACCAAACCAATAAAGGACATTTGCAACCTCACGAAGCTGATTCACCACTAAAATATGGTAGCATGTTTTGCCTTCAACCAAAAGCGGTGTGAAAATGAAAGTGGAATCGTGTTCTGTCAATTGTCAATTAGCACGTCAATAAAAAAAAAAATAGCAAACATCATGTTTTCTTACAAGTTTATGGTTTACTAATATTTACTATCAAGATTTCAATCAATTATCTTAAAGATGTTACATAATCTATTTAATTTATTGATTACGTTTATTTATCATTAAGACTCTAACAATATGATAGATACCAGTTGTGATAAATCATTTTATCACTATACATATTCTAAAACAAAATTTGCCACATCAGCAGGCCTTTGCTTTCTCCTTTATCCTAATGGAACATTCCTAGCAAGCTCGCATTGTCTGTCCTCGGGGACAGAAAAAACCAATAGCAGTCTGCCACATCATTTAAAAAATCACTTTAATTTTGAAGTGAGGGAAACAGATTGGTGTGGCAGATTGCTATTGGTTTGGGACAAAAAAATTTCGAATTCATTCCTAGCATCTCCAATTTGTCTCAAATTGCCACCTTAGAAGGCCCCTCTCCCTTTCTTCTCTCATTTCCATTAATTTATTTATTAAAGTAGGAAATTATTAATAAAAATTTCTTAATTACATGAACTAAAACTATAAAAGTTTATATATAATTAAAATAAAATAATAAAATAATAAAATAATAATAAAAATAACATAACTATATTAAGGCAACATCTGGACCGGATTTGATAAATATCCAGTTCATGGTTTTTAAAAAACGACCCAGAGACCGAACTGGTCAGGGGTCCCGTTACTGGGTCGAAGTTCAAACTGACCGTTTGGCCCGTTCTGACAAAAAAAATAAAAAAAATGGTCAAAACCGTTCGAACGGTTAATCACTTGGGTTAGCGGTTTGCTGACCAAAATCAACGGTTTTGGGCAAATTCCTAATTTTGAAGAAAACCAAAATCGATCACCTAACCAGTTCCCAGTTTTTTCAGTCCGATTTTAAAAACTATGATCCAATCCATTGACAACCCTATTTGGAAGCATCCAGTTTTACCATTATTCTTTTGTTTACTGGGTTAGTGCTAGATTTGAGTGCATTTGAATTTGATCTACTCATTTAAACTCGGTGATTTTATAGCTGAACAGAGAAGGATTGTTACTTTGACTGAAGCAGGAATATGGTTCTCAGTCCTTTTAGTTTCATTAGTTTTACTTTTTACTTCCCCTATTAAATTTTCGTTCATTTCAGTACATGGTTGGTTGTAATTCAAAGCAGAGCACGCAAAAATTTCTTTTTCAGCAGTTTAATTTATTTAGAGTTCTTTATCTATGGATATCATACCATTGTCAAGAATCATGGTTTGACTTGACTTCAGGTAATTAATTAATGATATGTTAATCTTGAGGGAAGTCGTTGGTGTTCATTTGATATTTTTGTAAAACTCTATTATAGGGTGCATATGAGAAAGCATGGTTTTGAAAATCAGCCAGGCAATCGATTCTATTTTATCATAAAATCACTTTAGGCTAAAAATCGTTGATTTGGTCAGTGATTCATTAATTTAGGTAGTCAAATTGTTAACCTGTTGAATCAGAACAGACTGTTCATTCAAATCAGATGGTCAAACTATTCAACCCAAGAACCGATCTCAAAAACGGTTTCATGTCCAATCCAGTTTTTAAAATCTTAGACTCCATGTATTATTTTATATCTATTTGTATTGTATTTGCTCTCCTTCTTCCAAGCTGAGCCTCATGAGAAAGCCAAAAAGCAGGAGCAATCATTTCAAATAGAAAGTCTTGTGGCATGCGTTCCAACGGGAATAATGCTTAGAGGTTTCCAAGGAAAAAAAGGAACATTTATGACATTTTATATATTTCTGGATGATCCTATTTCAGGAACAATTCATTTATGCTTTTTCATGTTGGAAAATCCATCCGTTTCCAGGATGTTGATACATCGTGAGATGTTGGTGACCCGAATGCTGAATGCCCTCAACAAAGCCTAAAACAGAGAAGGAGACAATAGTTTCTCCTTACGCTG